CAGCACACAGTTAACATGTAACTAAAAAAACAAAGTTAGCATCTTCTATATGGTGGAAATTACATTTTAGACAATTTCAATTAATGGGAAATAATAATTTAAATCAGAATTTTAAATTTTAATATTCAAAACAATTTCATACAATAAAATTTGGCAATTGTAATTTTTTAAATCAAAACTAAATCCAAAATCTTAAATAAAAATACTTTTTAGCAATTCAGATTTATGAGTCTACATATATACAGAGTGAGTGTTACCTATGTTAAAAGGGACTCGACAAAATTATATAGTGAGTATAATTCGGCTAAGTTTTTAAATAATAACTTGTACACATTTTGACTCAAAGTCCCCTGGTGCGTGAAGTTTGGCTAAGTTTTTAAATAATAACTTGTGCAAACGTTTGACTCAAAGTTCCCCCCGTGAGTATAATTCGGCTAAGTTTTTAAATAATAACTTGTACACATTTTGATTCAAAGTCCCCTGGTGCGTGAAGTTTGGCTAAGTTTTTAAATAATAACTTGTGCAAACGTTTGACTCAAAGTTCCCCCCGTGAGTATAATTCGGCTAAGTTTTTAAATAATAACTTGTGCAAACTTTTGACTCAAAGTCCCCCTCATGAGTGAATTTGGCTAAGTTTTTTAAAATAGACTTATATACATTTTAAGTTCCTTAGTGACTGTTCAAAATACTCTAAGTGTTTAAAAATAGATTTATATACATTTTAAGTTCCTTGGTGACTGTTCAAAATACTCTAAGGGTTTAAAAATATACTTATATACATTTTTTACAAGTTCCTTAGTGACTCAATTCGGCTAAGTTTTTTAAAAATGGACTCGGGAAATTAGCTACACTCCTAAGTTAAAAGAAATACAGAGTATGAGTACAAACATCAATTACGTCACCAATTGATCCCATGACCCGACACGCGACAACATATTACAATAGTCTAGCTTAGATGTCAAAGACTTACCAAAACAAGAAGATCCAGGTGGAAGAGTGAGTGACGATTCCGTAGAATTCCCCCCTTATATACCACAAAATTGTCTAAATTAATTTAGAACAATGGAAATTGAACAAACTGAAATTGAACAATTGAATAATTGAGGTCAATCAATCAAACATATTTGGTAATTGTCTAAACCTGCCCCAGACAGACTGGCGCCAGACAGGCAGAGAATGTTGACAATTGGTTTTGATTGGGGTCATTAGGTTACACTCGCAGTCATTCATTTGAGTCGGGCATAGTTTACGCATAGCCATAAGCGTGCCCGAGTTCACGCACAAACCTCACATGATTTTGAAAATATACATGGGAATGGATATGGATTTGAAATTTTAATGGAGTTTGAACATTTGTATGGGCTTGTAGGATTTGTACATTTGTAGGAACGAGATCCGGGTCTTTAAAAAGTGGCCAAAAAAATTAGCCATATTCCAGACGTGTTTTTCAGTATTAAAAAAGTAGAAAATTTATATAGGGGTGTATAGGTCGAGAGCTGGGTCTTTAAAAAAGTGGCCAAAAAAATGAGCCACTAATTTTTCTCATTTTTCCCCTATAAAAAGTGCCCTAAAAGTGCCTCTAAAACGCCGAAAGTGGGGTATCTTTCTTCTATTATATCTACTGATGTATAAGAAGTTCCCAAGTTATTCTTAAGGATAATAACAAAACTTTTTTAGTTTTCTTGTTCTTGGATTTTACTTAATCAAATTTGGTAATCTTTGTTTATTTCTTTTTATTTAGCAAAGAAATAATCTGACATTTTTAAGAAAATACGAGATGCTATAAGCAGGTTGTTTTGTTCGTGGTATGTCTATATAGTAACCGAGCTTCACAACGGGAGGAGAACGTGGTTAGAGTTGCAAGTTTAAAAATCTAGGCCTGTTATGGATCTAAGATTAAAAACTTAATTTTAACACCTAACCTTGTGTGTAATAAAATTCTTTACATCTTACTACACAGAAACAGGTACTTTTCCTATTCCATCCATAGGATGGGAAGTTACCCTTTGCCATGCCTAAACACGGAAAAGTAGTAATGTACTTTTACGCCACACTACATTATTTTGACGAACTTCCCACGCAAGGATTTAGTCCAGAAAACAGCTGTTTGCCGCCAGCTTATTCAATTGGGGTTTCATTGCGTACTGTACTACTATACTGTAATGAGTGTTACCGGACACCAATCAGCTGATTATACTGTATTTAGGTGGCAATGAATGGTTATAAACAAAAACGTAATGAGTAGTGATTTTTAGTCCTTTAGTTGGTGGGAATATATAAGGATTTGTACAGATTTATTAGTATGGCGTAAACTAACGTACGTAACTCGTCCAAAATGTGTGTACCGGACTCGTGTGGTAATCCCGTACTCGACTTCGTCTCGCACGAGAACGACCACACTCGTCCGGTAAACACACTTATTTTCAGGACTAGTAACGTAATATACTATTACAGTGTACTTAGTCAGCTGTTGAAATAAACAGCTAATTTCAGCGGCCTATTTTATTTTCAGAAAAAAAATCTAATTTATGTTCTGTCCTAAATAAATTGTGTCGCACGAAAATCCCGTACTCGGCTACGCCTTCTATAAACACCTTACCGCTTACCTGGCTAGTAACCTAATACAGTAGGCATATACTATTTCTTTATACCTACTGCATTTAGATAAGGTGTTTAAGTTTCTTAAGCAGCCATTACAGTTTACAGGTGGTTCTGATGTGTGTTTGTAAACACTGTAACAACTCTTTGATTTATTTTAAATACCCCCCGCAGCAAACCTGCAGACTAAACGAATTTCCATTTGCTTGATTGGATTTACACTATCTCCTTAAAATATCACAATATTATTCCCTATTTCAATATAGCATTAGTTTAACAAGTACTTAGGTATGTTGTAACAGGGAGGGTTTTAAAGGGGTTTTTTTTAAAATATTATTACATGTAGGTAGTTTAATATGAAATAAATGCATTTTCAAATTTTGATCAAAAGATGTTCATAAACAAGCTAACTACAACAGTTTACTTATTCTCCATAAGAATATCATTGGGATTTAAAATTTAAAACGGTTTGAGTTTTCTCCGTAACCATTAGGCGCATAATAATCTAAATATATAAAAGGCAAAGCCCTCACTGACTGACTGACTCACTCACTCACTCACTCATCACTAATTCTCCCACTTCCCATTTACCTAGGAGGCTGAAATTCGGTACACCGATTCTTTGGGCATTAAATAGGAAAACTAAGTAGTTTTTATTCTGATCGGGCTTTCGGGCTCCGCCCCAGTGGCTCTGAAGTTTCCCATGTTAACCTTATGATTTTTCATATTTAAAAGGAATTTCTTAACAGCTGTTTCAATTAAACAAGTTGGTTCTGTTCTATGATGTTCAATAGCATTAAAGTTACAAGGATTACCAACAGGGTGCAGCACTATTTTTTTTAATTTATGACTACAGCCAATTTGCAACCAAAAGGTGAGTGAGCGTAGCGAACGAACATCAACCTGATGGTAAGTGAGCGCAGCGAACGAGCTCTAACCTAAAGGTGAGTGAGCGTAGCGAACGAACTTCAACCAGGACGTGATTGAGGCATGCGAATACTTATGAAGTTAAACGGGGCAAAGCCCGCGGGTACAGCTAGTGCTTCAATATACTAAATAATTTGTTATTAAGCTCTACAAAATAGTTTGGAAAGAAATTATTGCAAAATTTTATGTTGTCATTGCTTTTTATGGATCGCCATATTGGCAATGGAAAGGTTAACAACAGAATCAAAGCATCTGCAGTTTGTTTAGGCAAATTAACGCAGTTTTTTAATTTCCTCATTTCCGGTGTAAGTTGCTGATACAAATGTACTACAACTCATTTAATATTTCAAAGTGTAACAATGAACAACGTAAATTTGTTATTTGGATTAATCTGTTTTAACACTAAGCTAGCAAGTTAAATGAAAAAACTATGTACACCCCTACTATGTCATTATATATTTCAAATAAATGTATGATTGAAAAAAACTTTGATGGATACCATAATCATCCTCTAGCAAAGTTTGGCCTAGGTAGCAAGTTTTAACTACCTTCTTACACGAAAAAAACTGTTAATAAATCATAATACAAGTGCGACAAATAAATGTCAAATTATTTTAAGCCTTCAAACGGCAGAACACATATTATATACACAAGATAGTTGAGATAGCATTGACAAATTTGAAGGAGACTGCAAGCTGCAAGCGCCGTGAATAGAAGTCGTTCGGAGTTTAAAAAAAGAACGACTCTCATTATACTCAACCGATCTGTTCAGCAAGAGCTGTTCACCTTCAATTTGAATCTCCCGCTCTTTGTCGATCTGTTTTGCTTGTCGACATTTTGCGTGTCGATAAAGTGGGAAAATTTACACAACCGTCCCACATAACAGACATCCCACATAACCGACATCCCACTTTACAGACATCCCATATTACCGACACTGTCGACATTTTGAGTTGTCGACAAAGTGGGACTATTTCAGTGTCGATCTTTTGGGATGTCGATAAACTGGGACCCCACGGATTAACTAACTAGGCTCAAATATTACTTGACTCAAGTCATGCTTTTGATATATATTTAATGCTGCAAAACAATTTCAAGTGAGAAACTATGAATTTGTTTACTAATTCATTTAAAATAATGTCTTTTGCTTGGGCATATTTTTGATTATATGTAAATTGGCTTCATTATAACCTATGGATATTATGAACATTAACGACAAAAATAAAGGCGGCCGTGCAAAAATAGTACCTAAATACTTTTGAGTTGTGTGTCATGTTGTTTGAGTTGAGAATCTTGTTCGTCTTTTGGTTTTGAAATAAAGCTGCAACGCTGCAAAATTCCAGCTGTCACTGCTGTCGCTGTCAGTGTCAGTTCTCAGTTCGAGTTCAGTCTCAGTCAGTCACAGTCTGCCGGCCAATCGGATTTCGGACGGGATTTGGATTTTGGATAACTTCAAAAAAACTAAACTAAAAAAAAAACCTCAAACAAAATATTTGGAAAACAAACATATTAACATCAACAACACCCAATTCTGAATTTGCCAAATTAAAAATATACCTCAGTGCTATAAGCTATAGGAAATAACGAAATCAATTCCGCCTTAAAACGTAAGTGTATAGGCTAGTACTTGATTTACAAACGCTTTGACATATTAAATTATTTTTTATAGGTAACTTGCTAGCCTATTGGTGGTTACAATCCTATGGTTGATGATAATATAAAGTTGACTGACTAACTAAAAATAAATTGGGCCTAAATTTAGGGACTAATAAGTTTAGACATGGTCAGGAAAGATAGTAAGTAAATCACGTCAATAAATCCAATCATTATAATCATAGTTAACTTAAGATAATGAAGTTCATTTCACCGGCTGCACTTTACTTTACTTGTGTGAACCTGGCAATAACTCCAGCAATAAGTAGTGAGCACGCCTGATAAAATCTATTGCTGGCCGTTTTACGGAAAAATACGGCCGCGAAGGTTATTACTGAGAGTGTAACCAGATAGAGGAAACCTTTACAGACACGACAGTATCAATATCATGTACCGGGGGGGTAAAGTCGGCTAAAAGTAATGCTCGCGCCCGAAAAAATTTATTACTGGCCATTTTACGGAAAAATACAGCCGCGAAGGTGATAAACGAGATAGTAACCAGATAGAGGACACCTTTACGGACACGACAGTATCAATATCATGTACCGGGGGGGTAAGTTAGGGGGGGTAAAGTCGGCTAAAAGTAGTGCTCGCGCCCGAAAAAATCTATTGCTAGACGTTTTACGGAAAAATACGGCCGCGAAGGTGATAACCGAGAGTGTCAACAGATAGAGGACACCTTTACGGACAAGACAGTATCAATATCATGTACCAGGGGGGTAAGTTAGGGGGGGGTAAAGTCGGCTAAAAGTAGTGCTCGCGCCCGTAAAAATCTATTGCTAGACGTTTTACAGAAAAATACGGCCGCGAAGGTGATAACCGACATAGTAACCAGATAGAGGACACCTTTACGGACACGACAGTATCAATATCATGTACCGGGGGGGTAAGTTAGGGGGGATAAAATCGGCTGAAAGTAGTACTCGATACAATGCTTGAAATTATTAGTTTTAAATACAAATATGTGGTTTTTATGGGAGATATTAATATTGATATGCTGAACTTAAATGACACCAGCAGGAAAAACTTACTGCATGTTGTAACAGCTAATGGCTTCCGGTCATTGGTTGATTTTCCTACAAGAATCACCGATACAACTAAAACTGCAATAGATAATGTTTTTACAAATTTAAATAGTGGCTGTTATAAAATCACGGGTATTAATACACAACTTTCGAACCATGATGGCCAAATAATTGAAGTTTTTACTAATACAAAAAATAGCCTGAATAATTCTTCCGTTTATTTTGAACATAAAAGAAATTTTAATAATAAAAACGTCGAACAATTCATATCTGCTTTACAACATGAGTCATGGCTTAATCTTTATTTATGCCCTTTAGAATGCAAGTATGATGTTTTTTATGAAATATTTATGCATTATTTTAATACATTCTTTCCATCAACTCTCTCAAGACAACATACTAACTGCAAGTGGATTTCTAATGAACTGAAGTTGGAAAGACAAAATATTATTAATCTTAACAAAGCAGCTAGAGAGTTAAATAGCAAAAAAATGCTACAGGAGGCTAGAGAAAAAAATAAGCAGTTTAGAAAAAAATTGTATTCTTCAAAAAAACAGTATTATAAAAGAAAAATTGGTAATTCTGACAATGTTAATAAGGTATCTTGGAAGATTGTGAACTCTGAAATAGGAGCTAAAACTATAAATAATTGTAATATAAACCTAATAGTAAATAATGATGTATGTTCTGACCCTTCCCTGGTCTGTAGTCATTTCATCAATTATTTTGCAGATGTAGTAAAAGAAACTGATACTTTCAATATAGATTCATTCCTAAAAACTGTTGATGACACTCTGCATCCTGTAATTTCTTCAGATAAAAGGAGCTTTAAATTTAGCTTTGTCGATGAGAGAGATATTGATAAAATTATTAAAAGTCTCAAAAACTCCTATAGTACTGGCTACGATGGTATTCCCATGGTTCTTTTTAAAAAAGCTAAATTAGTCCTACTTAAACCAATAGCCCATCTTATTAACTCATCTTTGATATCAGGAATTTTTCCTAATAAACTCAAAATTACAAAATTAAAACCAGTATTCAAAAAAGGAAACAAACAAACAGTATCAAACTATAGACCTATTGCTCTGCTGCCTTCTATTTCAAAAATCTATGAAAAGGTTGTTTATAACCAACTTGTATGCTTCTTTGAAAATAATGGTATATTTGATGACTGCCAACATGGATTCCGAAGGGGCAGATCTGTCATAACAGCTGCCACAGCTTTCATTGAATCCATCGTTGATAGCTTAGAAAGAAAATCTAAAGTGGTTGGGTTGTTCATGGACCTCAGTAAAGCTTTTGACTCCATTTCTCATGAGTTGTTACTTTTAAAGCTCAGTAGTAGTGGACTAAATAGTACTGCATTGAACTGGTTCAAGTCATATCTTTCTGATAGAAAACAATACGTGGAACTGAGTCACTGTAATGATAAAAATTATAAAATTTCTTACAATTCTTGTACTCGGGAAGTTAAATATGGGGTGCCCCAAGGATCAATCCTCCTTTTATTCATCTTTTACTTGAGAAATTTTCCCCAACTAAGTGTTTTGAGCAAGCTTTGCCTATATGCTGATGATGCAAATTTAAAAATAGCCGCAGAAACGTATGCTGAACTTGAAGCCAAGGCCAATTCTGATATATTATTACAACAGTTTTTTTAACTCAAATAATTTGCGTTTGAACACAGATAAAACTAATTTTATGTGCTTTCAAGCAGGGAAAACTAAACTGCAAAATCTGCCAAAAATTGTAGTTAATAACAACACAATTCAAAATAAAGAACACATCAAATTCTTGGGATTAGAAATTGATGAAAATTTGAAGTGGAACCATCATATTGACAAGTTACTTTCTAAAATTTCATCTGGCCTATATGCGTTAACAAGATTAAAACCCCTATGTGATAAGGAAACATTAAAAATTATATATTTTTCATACATACATTCAATCATATCATTTGGAGTTTCACTTTATGGTGCAGCAAAGAAGAAAAAATTAAAATCAATTCTAAAAAAACAAAAAAAAGCTATTCGAATTTTATGCAATTTAAAACGTAGAACTTCAGTCAAAGAACATTTCAAAACTGAAAATATTATGACTGTTTATGGAATGTATGTCTATGAAACAGTATTATCAGATTTGATGAATTACAACTTATTGGAGACTACCACAATTACTTTACTAGAAATCGAGAGAATCTGGCCACTAGCTCTCATACTCTGCAACTTTTCACGAAAACACCTAAGTATGCCGGTTCAAAATTTTATAATAATCTTCCTAAAGAAATCAAATTGGAAACCTCAAAAAATAAATTTAAATCAAAATTGAAAAAGTTTCTTATCAACAAGGCTATGTACTCCTTTGAAGAGTTTTAGTTCCATAAGTTATATTGCTTTATTTCATAAGTTGAAACTTTTGGTTTTAAAATAATTTTATCTATTATTTTAATTTTGATATTTTCATGTTTAAACTTTTATATTGCACTGCTTGTTTTACTTTATTTGAGCTGAAAGAATGTTCATATGGATGGTATGTTGTTACGCCATGCTTGATAGTTATGAGTATTTTAGTTAAGTTAGATTTGTTAAATTATTCTTGACGCCATTCCTGTATCTATGTATTGTACTTTAATGAATAAAGTTATATGAAATGAAATGAAATGCTCGCGCCCGATAAAATCTATTGCTAGACGTTTTACGGAAAAATACGGCCGCGAAGGTGATAACCGAGATAGTAACCAGATAGAGGACACCTTTACGGACACGACAGAATCAATATCATGTACCGGGGGGGGGGGGGGGGGGGGTAAGTTAGGGGGGGTAAAGTCGGCAAAAAGTAGTGCTCACGCCCGAAAAAATCTATTGCTAGACGTTTTACGGAAAAATACGGCCGCGAAGGTGATAACCGAGATAGTAACCAGATAGAGGACACCTTTACGGACACGACAGTATCAATATCATGTACCGGGGGGGTAAGTTAGGGGGGGTAAAGTCGGCTTAGTGCTCGCGCCCGAAAAAATCGATTGCTAGACGTTTTACGGAAAAATACGGCCGCGAAGGTGACAACCGAGAGTGTCAACAGATAGAGGACACCTTTACGGACAAGACAGTATCAATATTATGTACCGGGGGGGTAAGTTAGGGGGGGTAAAGTCGGCTAAAAGTAGTGCTTGCGCCCAGCAATAGATTTTATCGGGTGCGCGCACTACTTATTGCTGGAGTTATTGCCAGGTTCACTCCAATCTTTACTTTAGGTCCTACTCGAAGTGTAGGACCTAAAGTAAAGTGCAGCCATTTCACCATAAGTTAGCCTAGGTCAATAAAATCATGTAATCAACTTTCAATGCAATTTGTATTGTTATTTTGAATAATTAGCCTAGCATACAGACTCAAGTTTAACATGCCTTACATCAAACTGATTAATTGAAAGTATTAAGTTAATGCCTAACCCTACTTAGAAAACAATGACAGTAGACTCCCTCTTATCCGGACACCTCTTATCCGGTAATAGACATCGGTTTAACCGGACTACACTTGGCAGAAATGATATCTCGGTAATTATTTGATATTTCCACAATGCGATATCGTGTAATTTTTAGATGTCTACTTACAGTATTTTTCACGCTGAATCCAAAAATGCAATCAGTTTTTGTCGGAGAGATTCCTAAGTGGCCGTATAGTTAAATAATTAATATTAAGCTTCAGTTTTGTTGATTTATTAACATATTTGTGGTATGGACGAGTCCAAGTTCTAGTGGCGACTAACACTAAAAGGGGTGGAAGGTTTGTGGAGTGGAAACAGATGTCAGTTGTTTACATTCGATACTAAACAGTCAAAACCACATACGACACCATGAGAGTAAAATCAGAGTTACAATATGCAATAACTAGATTTTTAAAAGAAAATGGACTTTGGTGCTGTTTAGAAAATACAACAAATCAACTACGATACATAAACTATTAATCACATCAATATAAATTATAAAACAAAATAGAATTTATTCACGTAAAATGTCAGTAATAGAAGCTAGGCCACTGCCAACATGATCGTCCTCATTCCAATCCTCAACGTCTGTTAATGAACGTGCCATAGTGCATAATCCCATAGTACATAATCCCATTGTGCCTAAAAGTGAAAACGTGCTACAGTAGGTACATAATTTCATGTATCAGCAACTAATAAATGATGTTACATAATCTAATCTAATCTAACCTAACCCAACCCAACCTTAATATTAATGTTTAAATCCTATTTTATGTTAGAAAAGGCATGTGAGGAAGATAGGTCGGACTTTATTCGGATTCGAGACTGTATTAAGTCCTTTGAAGTGAGGTTAGATTAGGTAAGTTAAAGGTTAGGTTATAATGAACCGACTCATTAATTTATGCAACTTCCAGACTGTTTTTGCACAATTGAAATAGTGGGTGAAACACAATGGAATAACATTGTGTTTCACCCACTATTTAATTGTGCAAAAACAGTCTTTAAGTAGCATAAATTAATGAGTCGGTTAATTATAACCTAACCTTTACCTTCCTAATCTAACCTCACTTCAAAACACTTAATACAGTCAGGAATCCGCATAAAACCCGACCTACCTTCCTCACATGTCTAAATAAGAACTGATTATTTGGTTTCAAAACGAATTGATTTCATTCCGCATTAAGTCTAGCATAAACAGCTGTTTGCTCTCCTGCTCACTCAGTCCACAGTCCACATACCAACCCATCAGTCCAAAGTCCACATACCGACCCATCCAGACCACGCCATATTACCATCAGTAGCTCAATGAACCATAGATTCATAATTTCAACCTTCGTTTTACGGCCACTTATGAATCTCTCCGACAAAAACTGATTGCATTTTTGGATTCAGCGTGAAAAATACTGTAAGTAGACATCTAAAAATTACACGATATCGCATTGTAGATATATCAAATATTTGCCGATATCTCTTTAACCGGACAATTTTTATCAGCACATCGGTTTAACCGGACTATATCGGCAGGAAGTGGGCGGTACTAAGTGATCACGTGTCTAAATACTTAATGCTCTCCTATATTTAATTCAAATAATACTGTATACAGTATGCCTTTAAACAGTTTGTTTAAAAAAAGTTTGGGGAAGTCGGTTTAGGCCTAACTGGAAAAAACGTTATCCGGACTGGCCTTGGTCCCGAGGAGTCTGGATAAGAGGGAGTCTACTGTAATCTGAAACTAAACAAGGAGCGTTGGTACTTTCCTGAAGGGAACATTCATTATTATCGATGATTTCTTTTCGATATATCGAACTTAACAAATTGAAACATATCATACTTAACTTATCAGCTGACAACTACAATAGATAAATATTTTTCAGTATCAACAAACAATTAAAAAATTGCAGATTTTGTGGGAGTGTCAATCCAAATCACGTAATATTTGCAATTCTCCCAATAAAATGAAGTAACTTATCTCCCTTTCACATGGTAGACACATGGCAATCATTAAAAAAAAGTTAATATTCGTTTTGGATGGTTTTTGAAGCGATTTTATTGAAATGTATGTTATAAAACTTAGTGCTTTAAATCCTGGACAAAATGACCCAAAAGTTGTAAAACTTCCAGTAAAAAAAATGTAATTTTCAATCTTGGCATGGCAATAGCTCAGTACTGTATTTTCAGGAATGTACCTAATCATAAAAGTGCTTTCACACGTTTCGGCACATGTTGTCAAGCTGATGGCACCCCAAAGTCGCATTCACTGTGTAGTCGATGACTCTACAGATGATTTATTGTAAGAAAGTGACATAGGGTAACTGGCTCGAATGTTAACTAGGCCTAATTTAATTTTGTAACATCTGGTACTGTCTATATTTTACTTGTCAACTGATACTTTCATTTTAATAGTCAACTTTCTAATAAGCATATGGATGAAACATTCAGAGCAGTTACTAAACACAACAAGTATAATCTGCCGGAATGTCGCATCTGTGACAATGACAGATAAGTTAGGCCTAGTGTTAAAACAATCAACGTTGTAAAGTGTGTAAACTCCCAAACCCAGAACTGATTTTTTTCTTAAAAACATTTGATGCTTTGCTAGCCTAGTGGTTAGCGTCTTGGACTTGAGTTCGGTTTGGTTTCATTTCATGGCACATCCCTAAAATATATGGGTTAGGACAAAATAGTTATTTGTGTAACTAGTGGGTGAAGTGGCACTTTGCTGCACACGAGAGAAATGTTTACTCACAAGCCTTAGGCGGGTGTGGAAAATTTCTTGAGTGCAGCAAAGGCAGTTTGAAGTGTTTCACATTATATTTTTCCTACAGTTAGGTACTCTAAATCATATAAATAATTAGTCTTTCAAACAATGTACATCACGTTTTTAGGTTAGGTTAAATCCAAACATTGAACGAAATGGGAAACGCTGCATCAGCTGATTGTAGTCGTAATATCTTAAAGTGTTGTTGCCAACTTATTTTCAAGTGTACACGGATTAGTGCATAATAAAAGCACACTGTTTTGTGATGTTTGGTTGGAATAATGGTGTGCGCCAAAGTAAAAATTGTGTGCCAAAGTAAAAACTGTATGCCAAAGTAAAAACTGTACGCCAAAGTAAGGCTTTCTGTAGTATAATCTGTGCAAGGAAGCCCACTTAATTATTTTGTGTAGGCCTAATCTCCAAAATACCTCCAAAGATTAATCAACAGATGAATAACTCCACCAATGTAGACAACAAGAAAACAGTAGTATTAAGCAATATATTATTTTCTGTTGCAGCTGGAGCTCTAATGTTTAAATTTTCTGCTGGTGTTTTCTTACTCCAACATCTTGGGATTCATTCGATGAAATGGTGGTCTTGGAACATTGTATGGGTTACATCAAACGTCTCAAGCTAAGAACTGTAACAATTTCTGTGATCGTTTCAAGTTTGGTACTTATAACCTATCAAATAATGATTAGTTATAAAATAACTGATAGCGGTATTCAAAATCAGCCCAAAAATACCCATAACGTAGCTGATAGCAGTTTTGAAAATCAAGCCGAAAATTCCCGCTTAGAAAAAGAAGAAACTAGAAAAATAGAAGGAATAAGTAGTTGGAAAAAGTTTCATTCTGATGTTGAGAATTCAATCCATTCAATACAGAATAATTTAACATTTAAAGGTGTGCTTAAAAATGATAAAAAGTATATACCCAATAGCAATGGAAAAATTGTCTGCTCTTTGGACTCCATAGAAATAGATGTATCAAGAGTAAACGATGATTATTGCGACTGTCCTACTGACGGAATGGATGAACCTGGAACTAATGCTTGTCAACATGGGAAGTTTTTTTGTGAATACCAAGCTAAATCCAAACACCGTAAGTAAAATTTATACAGAAGTATTCACATTTGTGGACTAGGTAGTCCCTATTTTCGAAACATCCAAATCCAGGTAGTTGGAATTTTCAAGTCTGCAAGCCTAACAACTTTACTGTACCATCAAAATATTCAATTACAGTAGACCTCCTCTTAACCAACCCTTACGGAACTTAAAAGGTCTTTTAAAACTACACATAGCCTATCTCTTTTTAGCAAATTTCCCATGTAGGGAATAAGCTATTACCGTAGTACTCATGGTAAGACCTGGTCCCAGTACCGATTTACTTTTTTGTTTTGAGGTCTCTAGAGGTCAAAAACACCATCCGTTCAAATTCATATATGCCTATATGTGTACGTTAGCACGATAACTCGAGCAAAAACGATCCGATTTTGATGGAATTCGGTATAAATGTGTAAACCTACATTTATCCGAATGAGTTTGCGAACCACCATGATCGGACTATGGGAACAGGGGTTTATGGGGGGGTTTTGGGGTAAAAATGGGTTTTTCTAATTTTTCACCCTGAAAACATGAAATTTTGCAATTTCTTTCCAAACCATTTTGTAGAGCTAAAAAAAAACACATAATTTAGTATATTGAAGCATTGTATGCCTGACGGTTAGGGAAAAATCCCAAAAAGTGTAAATTTAAAATTCCCATGTTATATGGAGAATAAATAAACTGTTGTAGCTTGCTTGTCTATGGACATATTTTAATGAAATTTTGTTTACTTCATACTAGGCTATCAATATTTCAATAAAAATACCCCTATTTTCTTCCCTGTAGCAGCAAACCTAAGTACTCATTAAAATTAATGATATTTAGGCCTAAATAGAAAATAAATCTGACAATTTTAAGGGAATAATTTAGTGGAATTCCAGCCAGGTGGATGGAAATTCGCTTAGTCTGCAGGTTTGCTGCGGTGGGGGTATTTTTTTCTCTTACTGACGACAGACAGGTCACAAATAGGCTAAATCCAAAACACAGTGAAATTAAATGTTTTCGGTAGAATAAATTAAGAGTCGTAGGCAAGAGTCAATAAAAATTAAATATAGGCCTAATTTTAATAGGTAGCCTATCTTTTTAGTAATAATTAATCGATGCTTTCTAGATCTATCGTAATACCTACAGTACAGAACTTTTTTTTTTAAATTAAAGAAACAAGCAAAGATTTGTTACGAGACAGGATGTTTATCAGTAACATCCTTTGGAGTTTAGCGTATTGTTCACATCGCCGAGGGAACAGGGCCGTATTTAGAATCGATGAGGGCCCCGGCAGCTCTCACCAGAGAGGCTCCTCTCTATATTCTGATTCTTCGAAGAATAGAACTTAAGTGTAGAAATACACATGGTATTGCGATGAATTGACCTTTTAATTCTAACAATCTGATAAACAAATACCCCCGCCGCAGCAAACCTGCAGACTAAGCGAATTTCAACTTGTCTGATTGCATTTTTACTAAAATATTTCCATAAATAAGACATATATATTTCCAATTTAAATAACATTGGATTTAACGAGTGCTTAGGTTTGCTGCTACGGGGAAGGTAAAAAGTGTTTTTTGACCATATGTCAATAGTATAGGATGAAATAAATAAATTTGCCAAATTTTATCAACATTATATCCATAAACAAGTAAATTACACTTTTTTCTCCGTGACCGTTAGGCATACCGCTTCAATATACTAAATTATTTATTTTTTTAAGCTCTACAAAATGGTTGTGAAAGAAATTACAAATTTTTTTGTTTTTAGGGTAAACAATGGGAAATACCCACAAAACCCCCCATAAACCCCTGTTCCCATGGTCCGATTATGCTGGTTCTCGAACTCGTTCAAATAAACGTAGGTTACACGTTTGTACTAAATTTCATCAAAATCGGATCATTTTTGCTTGAGTTATCGCACTAACGGACACATACATAAATATATATATATATATGAATTTCAACGGATGGTGTTTTTGGCCTCTGGGGACCTCAAAACGAAAAAGTATATCGGTCCCGGGTCTAGGTCTTACCATGAGACCTACGGTAATAGCTTATTCCCTATATGGGAAATTCGCTAAAAGACCTAGGAGAATAGCTAATAAATAAGTCTATTAATTTCTAGCGTGACCGAGCACTGAGACGTCGTCTTAGTCTCCTCCGATCGCGGCGGAATCATAAACGACTCATGCAACCATGGAGAAATGGTGAACATCTTGCGCGATCGAGGATAAATCATCTGCATTACCTCCGATCACCGTAAAAACATTAACGTCTCCTAAGGCCGCGGAGAAATAGTTAGAATCTTGCACGGGTGCTGAGACGTTATTTTTGTCTTTTCCGATTGCGGCGGATCATGAACGACTCATGTAGCCACGGAGAAATGTTAAACACATTCGCGGCCGTGTAGACATCATCATCGTCTCCCGCTGTCACGAAAAGGTGATCGTCGTCTTGAGCGGCAAAATCATGAACATCTCCCGCGACTGTGTAGACATCATCATCGTCTCGTCTCCTATGGTTGCGACCCCATGGTGAGGCCCCCTCCTAGGCCGAGGTCACTGGCAACCGCGGTTAGGGAAATGCGGCCCTGCGAGGGAATTTAGTTTAGGGGCAGATATGCTGAGATTCCTAGAAAGCGGCAGTTAAACCTAACTACTCTCAAAACAAGGTCGGTTGGAACAAACTGTAATATTCTACGAGCAAGGGCGGATAATCAGATTAATGGTTAATGTGAGGTCGGTTAAGAGGGGGGTCTACAGTACTTCAAATATTACTTAGTAGTTTCAATCCTACTGTATAACCTACATGGATAAAATAATAATAGGATGCTGCTTATAAATCTCCTTCCCATATTATGATCATGCTGGTCTGCAAACTCATTCAAGTAGATCTAGGTTTACACAAAATTTCATCAAAATCAGATCATTTTTGCGTGAATTATTGTGCTAACGGACACATGGATTTGAACCAACTGTGTTTTTGGCCTCAGGGGACCTCAAAACAAAAAACTAAATTGGTCCAGGTCTTACCATGATACCTGGTAGCCTAATTGCTTATATTCAGTCTATGGGAAATTCCCTAAAATCCGTTTCCAAGTGTAAAACGTATTCATTGTTGGAGAATTGGAAAAAGATACAGCACCGATGGAGATCGTGACATTGGGAATTACAATTTCATAAAAATGACCTCTTGAATCTAATCTGTAAAGAAGCAGCCTGCGTCACTTCGTGACTTCAAAATCTGTTATATATTTTATATATAGTTGAAAACGATTCTTATCGTATCACTATATTTGCATTGCGTGCCCTATTATTTTCATTGCATTTGAGATGTAAGAGCCTATACAACACGTTTTTAGATTAGGTTAAATCCAACTGTTGAACGAAATGGGAAACGCTGCACCAGCTGATCGTAGTCATAGTATCTTTAAGTTAGGGGTTGCCAACTTATTTTCAAGCGTACACGTACTACGAGTCTAATAAAAGCACACTGTTTTTTGTTGCTTGTAAATGTTAGTTTGTAAATTCAGCAATTAGCTACTTTGTAAGTTATCCTAATCAGTGCAAGGACACACTTTGTCGGATTTAACTGTAGGAAAATTATATTTTTCAGATCTCAAATCGGTTCCTTCTAGTCGAGTCAATGATGGAATCTGTGATTGCTGTGATGGGTCAGACGAATGGGGAGGCATGGTGCTTTCTAATAGGCTCTCTGGTAATAACCATTGTTAATCCACAATTTAAAAAGGCAAATCTATATTCTTTATGCATAACCAACACCGTTGGAAATTTCTCAATGACTGGAAAGGCTCTTGGTTTTATTGCCAATCAAAATCCTTAGGACTCTGTTTTCCTAGTTTTAAAATATATGACATAAAGTTTATATGAATTTTATTGGTATATTTTCATAAAATAGTTATGAAATTACTATATTAAGTTTACATTAGCTTTGTTGATAACATTTTAATAATCTAAAGTTATAGATTTTTATTTTTAAACCTTCAAATTAGACAAAAAAACTAATTCTCTTTCAACAAATAAAGCAATTAAACAACCTATATATAAATCTAAGCAGTGATTACGAATTACCGTTCCTTTAGATCAACTATAATTGTATAATTTTGTTATCTTGGGTAGTTAAAATAAAAATATGCTTTCTAGTGGACTAAATGAGGCACTAACCAGGAAATAACTCATTCCAGTGTTCTATAATGCTGAACCATTTGTGTAAATTATTGCTTCAGTTATTAGAAGATAAGCTTAGTTACCAAGCTATACATGGTACATTAGCAAGGCAAGCATCTCTTGGAAAGCCTACAAGACTAATCCTTTTGAGGCGGTATTAACAATAAGCTAACCATAGGTGATTCAATTTTATCTTTTGTCTCCAATGCCAAAAGTGAACATTATTTATTAATCAATTTTGAGCGGCACAAATTAAAAATATTTCAATTTTGCAGAATCAGGCGATGATTTATAATACGGACACTTCATTATGTACAGGACCTTCAACACTTCTTAATTTAGCTTTGGACATTTTGAAACTTTTCTAAAATATTATCTTCTTGGACATCTTGATGACAGTTAATGATCTTGCATAGTGAAATAGAAACTTTATAATGAATTCTCGGAGTTTTATTAATTTGATCATGAATTTTTTTACTTTCAATTTTTCAGATGACATCCAGAAATCACTAGGCAGATTCCAGACCCCATGTTCAAACCATTGTTAGATCTCAAAACTGTGATGTTACCTTGTATTTTACAGTAAGTTTTTATTTTTTAAATACAGCAGAAAACAAACTGAACCCGTGTTTTTTTACTTGAACAACATGATTAAACAACACCGTTTTTGTGTTAAAATCAAGTTAAAAGTGTGTATGAAGCTGCATAGCTGACAAGAGAGTGTACAACGGTATTCCTAATATGAAACATCCTATATATGATAAGAGTAAAGTTTGAATACTTGTTACTTCGATCTCGGAATCGGCACCAAGAAACACCCTTATACATTCGGTATAACTGCATTCTGCTTCGAAAATAAGTTCTAGACCAGTGTTATATCCAAGAAAATTTATTATCACCATAATATGCATAATAACTTTGGAAAAGTTAACAAGGGCCTTATGGAATTCCATTCCGGTTATTTCATGATCTTTTATAAAATACATGTAATGTACACAGATATCAGCCAGAGATTTGAGCTAATCTATTTCAAATTAACTAATATTTCATGAGGAATTTAACAACATTCCCTATTTTAATGCATTGCCTATATAGGTTATGTAGTAAATGATCACACTACTCTTCCCACTGGCGCCTGTCAAAGTGACACCATTTTCGTCAACAGCATAGCATTGTTGTACTCTATTGCAAAACTGGTATAAAGCTGTGTTCTCTGTGCAGGGTGGCAAAAGTATTTAGGCCTGTAGTCTTTGAAATAGAATTTGTTTGTTACCTTACAATATCCTTATTCGTCAGGTAGAACTACATGTTTCATGGCAACTGCCACATCATCAGGTTCATCCTCTTCTACGATTTGTCATACATTTAAAATTAAACTCAAAACACTTCTTGATACGAGACATTTAACAGAAAACTTTGCCATGCAACACATAGTTCTACCTGACAAATAAGGATATTGTAAGGTAACCAAATAATTAAATTTCAATATCCAGAAGTAGGACAATGAATTCTGATACAAACTTGTTGCCATTGGCATTCCTTTTTAGTAAATTTCCCATAAATGAAATAAGCTATTCAAAGTATTTTCTCTTTTTACAGTGGGTCAAATGATTAACGCTGAGGGTAGCCTGATTGAAGGATAACTGTAGAAGAAGTAAGATTAAACAAATTATTGTGCATACATAGTATTTAGTATTCATCAACATCAATTATTGTAATTTAAACCAGGCTTTACCTTTGTGTCATGGATAAGTTTCAAAATGATCTTATGACGTGAATGATGTGATAATTTATTATTGTGCTTATCAAGTACCAACTACAATGAACAATTAATTTTGACAGATTTAAGATATACTACAAATAAATATTTATAATTTTGTAACATTGACCGAAGACTGCCCTCAGAGTATACTTATCATTACAGTAGGAAAATGTATTTGATCAAAACCAAAGTTGTATGTTGGACCCTCATTGTAAAAGGTCTTTTAAGTGTACAACGGGCAAATAGGAGAAGAGGATATCTAGTATAGTATCAAAGTTGTTCTGGAAAGCTAGTGTACCAGAGAAACGATTAATAAAGACATTTTAAAACCCCTCCTTCAAAAGGTTTTGGTACTATTGAGCAAACTGCATTAAATTGAAAAAGGAATTTATTTCGATTTTATTGGTATTGCAATAAAATTGCGTTACAATAAATAACTTAATAACAAGTAACAACAAATGTTCAAAGCGTCAACAAAATATAAAAGAGCTGAACCAGTATTTCAACATATACAAATAAATTGACAAAATAAATATGACACATACAAAATCTACAATTTAATATTAACTACATATTTAATGACAGTAAATCAATCGATGATTTGAAAATTTGATTGGTATAGCCATTGACTATTGGATACAGAAGTGTATTGATAGTCAAAGGTATAGCCAATCAAAATAATAAAGCTTTCTTATCAGTTAATTTTTTGTTTCTTTCCGAGACCTCCAAGACAAAAATTTTAACTCCAAGAGGTATTTGCCCTCCTCAAATATAAGTTTTGTAAAAATTAACTTAAGAAATTGACTTAACCATATCACAAACCCGTTCGATGGTTCTAAAAATTCATCAATTGAAAAGATTTTTTCTAAGATAACTTTCTATGGTTTCGTAGTGAAACTTGGTGTTGTAACAACTTTTGTCTAGAGTTGTAAAATTACTTGATTAACAAAACAACAATACAAAGTTAGTACATTAAAAAAATTCCCTAAATAGATAAGACAAATCTTATTTCTTCTCAAAACATAGAATGAATTTAAAATGCAATGTTTGTCGTTTAAAAAAAGTGAAATAGCAAGAGATATTATAAACTATTACAATAAATATTGAGACAAATATGACATTTTCACTTCTATATAGCTTAATACTAATCAAGTCTTTTTCTTTGAGTCAATAGTGGTTAAATGCACTAATGGTGCATTCACATTTTCCATTGCAACCGTACATGTAAAACCACAACATGATGAACACATTTTAACTTTGATAGAAACAAATGATTTATATTTGAAAAGCTTGAAAATACAGTAAAACCTCTTTAATCCGAACTAATTGGGACCGGGGGTAGTTCAGACCATTCAATAGTTCGTATTACAGAACATATTGTTGTTTTTACATAACAATAGTTAGAGAAAAGTGAAAATTACCTTATAAAGTAAAATACAGTGTTTATTAAATACAGTGGTAAACATAGGGTACGAACAGTACTGTATATTACAATTAAAATAATTATGGTGCGTATATCAATAAATACATTATACAATAAAGAACTACTGTACTGTGTATAGAGTACAGAAATGAGGCGTTCGGATTAGTGGACGTTCGGATTACAGGGGTTCGGATTAAAGAGGTTCTACTGTAAAGGTATTTTAATAATCCTGTAATTTTAATGGGACATAATTTGTTTGTTTTGCTTTTAAAGAAAAAATTTGATACATAATCCAATGTAAGAATCCAATCACTTCAATTCCAAAACAACTGAAACTGTGCAGCAGAAAACTTGTAAATCAAGTTACATGCAAAACCTTTTTGAACATTGTTTCATTACTAATTCATCACTTAGAATATTAAATACGATGTATATACACATGTACAAATCGTTAAGTAACATAGAACATTACGAAATTACATATCCCAAATACACTTAACAGGTGTTTTAAATTAACAAAGACGATTACTGTGGTCAATTCAACATAGAGTATTGTATAAGGCATGGCGATAGTTTTAAACAGTGTTTATACCATGTATTTTCGGTTATGACTTTTTAAACTCTGTAATAAGTGTAAAATGAGTCTCTAGTGAAGGAACTTGGTTTTCAAAGTGCACCGTCCTCTCGACGGCAGCACCCATCTTGTGAAGCAGATCGCTGAACATTTTTTCTTCTTTTCTAATCCACGGTCTACGATCATCATTGATTTGGTAAGGTGTTACGTGAATGTGACTTCTGATTCCTGTATAAAGATTATAGAATAAGTTTTCTAGGTAAATTAAACATCAATTATAAATACCCCCGCCGCAGCAAATCTGCAGACTAAGCAAATTTCCATTTGCCTGATTTGATTTTCAATTAAATCTATTCAAATAACATTAGGTTTAACGAGCACCTAGGTTTGCTGCATACAGGGTAATAAAGTGTGTTTGTTAGTAAAATATTAATAGCTTAGCATAAAATAAATAGATTGGGCAAGTTTGATCCAAATATATGCATAAACAAGCAAACTACAACAGTTTACTTATTCTCTATAAGAATAACAAGGGAATTTTTAATTACAATTTTCTCCGTAACCAATAACCATACAAAAACACTTCAATATACTGAATTATTTGTTTTTTTAAGCTCTTCAAAATGGTTTAGAGGAAATTTGGGAAATCTTATGTTTTGAGGGTCAAAAATGAGAAAAACCAACTTTTACCCCATAAAACCCCGTTCCCATGGTCCGATCATGCTGGTTCGCGAACTCGTTCAAATAAACGTAGGTTTACACATTCGTACCAAATTTCATCGAAATCGGATCATTTTTGCTCGAGTTATCGTGCTAACGGACACATATATATATAAATTTCATCGAAATCGGATCATTTTTATCTATTTTCATCTATTGGACATATATATATATATGAATTTGAATGGATGGTGTTTTTGGCTTCTAGGGACATCAAAATGAAAAAGTAAATCGGTCCCAGGACTAAGTCTTACCATGAGACCTACGGTAATAGCTTATTCCCTATAAAGAAATTCGCTAAAAGATGGCAAATATAGAAAAAAAATAGACAGAATAAAATATACTGTGACCAAAATTAATATACTGTACTAGGCATACCACTCTTTAACAGGTGTATTGCAAAATCTGTCAGAACTTTTATTTACTTTATTACAGTTACACCAATATTTAGCAACCAATAACCAAACAGAATATAGAAGATTTTTTGAAGTTTTGAAATAAAAATACAAAATAATCTCAGCGGAAGAAAATTTCAATAAAACACTGTTATAGTGTTGAAAATAAAAACTAAAACACTAGCTTTATGGAATCAGCAGCATTGAACCTGCACACATTGAACAAATAGTTAATCAAGTACAATAGTTTGTTTTGTTAAGTGTAAAATAAACTAACTTATTCTTTTCTTCATATTAATCCTAATCTTATCTTAATCTAATCTTAATTTTAATTGTTTGAGCCCATTTTGTAAAAACCCATTTTTTTTATTTTATGGATTTTTATGAGAAAAACGGCATTAACAATCAAAATAAAAATAAAAATAAGAATGCCTCGAGAGGACAATTATGGATTACCCATATACCAAATTTCATCAAAATCGGACAACAGGTGTAGTATGTAGCTAAATATACACTCAACCACTTTAAAAACCACTTTTTTGGGGTTGAGGGGAACCCAAAACAAACGGATGTTTCCATCCAAAACTCAAAACCTTTTGATGAAATTAATACTTTTCCCATTGGGGGACAAAGTAAAAATTGTCTACAGCTGGTCCATACAGAGGAAGTCAATGGTTTGCCCTAAGATTTTACCTAGCCTAGTGAGAGTCTCCAATAGATTCCTAGATGTGATCCAAGTGTTTCTACCCCCCGCATGGCCTCCGTCGAGCCAATACATGTCTGTGATGTGAGGTACGACCTGACACTTGGAGTCATCGTCCGGCGTAAGCGTCTTGGAGTAGTGGAACTCATATAGAAACTGGTTCAGGACAACACACCCTTTACTGAACCCCACAAGCTGGATTTCCACCTTGTCTAAGGAGGGGAACTGGATATCTTCTGTGTCCTGAAATGTAAAACAGTGCATGAAAACTTAAACTGAAGTGTTAAACATGCTTCTGCTTTGTAACTTCTAGCATGAAATAATCTTATTTCAACTAACCCATTGGCATTATCTGTTTATGGATGTTCAGAGGATTTTACGTGCTTGTTTGTAAAAATTGTTTTGCCATTCTAAATGCCGAAAAGCTTGCGCTGTTTGAGTTAATTGAAAAAATCAACTGTCTACAGGGATAGTATAACTCTATGAACATTTTCTGATTAAAAAACTTAAAATAAATAAAGATTTTAAAGGGAGTTGTTTGCAAACAGCTTATATTTCCTTGCGGTTTTACAGTAAAAAATAACAGTTAAACAAAATGGTTACTACATAAAACCAACAAGTTCCTTATTCCAATTTACCTACCAAATTTAACCTTTTAGCGACAACGACTAATTTGTGAGGCCTGGGTACGAAAACTTAACTTATGATTAAAAACAATTGGGTAGGTCAAAGTGAATATAAAATACAATATTTAATGAAGGATAGAGTATCTTCATATTTTGTTGAGCCCTGACCCTAATTTTCAAGTCAAAGCTTAATAACTTATTATGCAACACATGTGTTTATAGATCAGAAAAGTTCATTGGGTGGTAAAGCAAATAGATCTTGAGAAGACCTAAAATGCAATGAAAATAAGCAGCCTAACAAGTACTAACAACTTTTTACCACTCAATTCACCTATTTACATTGAGAACAATATAATTCTAATCCCTAACCTAACATCCACATTTGTTTTTTACATAATCAATTTGATAGCCCAATGACAAACGGCATCCATAATCGATCCCGACCTTCAGATTTGAAAACAATTAAATTTGAATTCAACTAACTTTGGGGTACCAGCTTATACATAAATCCTGCCAATTTGGAAAAATCAAGTTTAATTTAAAATACAATAAATTTTAAACTAAGTAATAAAAAATCCATACACACCTCCTTAGCCTCCGTCTTGGCAATGTCTTTGACCTGGGAGGATAGATTCTGCAACAGCCTCTCCAGATGTAACAGTGCACTGTGGTCTGGTGTGTGCTCCGGCACTCCACAGCTGTTGGAGGGTACAAAGTTGTCATAGCAGGCAAAAGTCTTGAACTCCATCCTGGGCGACAAACACGACTATGTAAGCATACTGTTAACGATTCAACTAAACACAAATGAAAATGAATGAGTCATGAATGAGATGAAAAAGTGACTAAGTTACTGCCCAAGACTGATGATGACCTGACATAATATTTTCAATAAATGGACTCGTAAGTAACTACCGCTGTGCTTGAAAAGACTTTGCAAACGAACAAATTAATACATTTAGCCTAAACTTTAAATTCGACAGTATAAGCTCCCTTGGAAAAACATTGAGTTTAAAATTGCATCAATCTAACAAGCGAATTGCAGGAAGTTGTTAAGGCTTTTTTACGGCATTGTGTAGCCTGTGATGCAAATGTTAATGGGTAATCTAAACCGAATTTCCCTTGACCCTCTTTACAAGGCATACAACATTAATTTTTGTCCCAATGACAGGGTACTCATTCCTTCTTTTTTGCAAGGATGGTAGGAACAAACCTGAAAATTGAGTGCTATACTGCCATTCTAAATTTTCATTGTTCATTTAATTTAACCCAGACTCTGGACTTGACTTATTGGATCCCAGTCTACTTTAGTACAATGGTAACACACTGTGCATACACTCTCCTCACTTCAACCCTAGCCTCAGGTACCAAGGAAATCACAACTTTGTTAAAACCATTAGAAACCTCTTCCGTATAGTTGATCTGATTTCAATAAGCCATGATTAATTTCATTGTTGATTGTTAGCTTAACACGATGATGAGTGAACATGAAAAAGATATAATGATAGAATTAAACACCTTGATGATAAATTGGTATTACAGGCAATATAGGCTAAGCCAAATTGTTTAACCCTCCCAGTGTTACTTGACGAAAATTCGGCAAGCACCACACTTTGTATAGTGTTACTTGCCGATTTTTCGACAAGCAGACATCGTTTACGGCGAAGGCTCTATAACTGACTGAATCGGATTGAACTGGATCGAGTTAGGTATCGTTCTTTCCGTTACATTCTAAGCTGTCTCCAGATGTCTGTCTCTAAGCGCTATTCATTTTAGTTCTGAAAATATTGTAGCAGACAGCTGACGTGCGTGTATTTGTAAACAGCTAGGTTCCCCCGGACCGATGACTGATGTGTTTTATTACGTTTATCATTGTTTTAGTGTTAAAAATCAAAAGTAGTGATATACGTGGTGCATTATAAGAAGATTTAAGTGGTTTTGAAGTGCTGGTTGATGATCCTGAAGAAGTAGGTAGTGATATTGATGTAAATTATCAGCCAGATTCCTAGCTATGGTTAGGCTATGCATTCTTAGCTAAACGCTATGTACTGAAATCAGTTTTTTGCCCATAACTTATTTATTTGCAAATATACTTCCTTATATTATTATATATTTGTAATCCTCATAAAATTTAGAACAAAGTGGCTATTTTCAAATATTTATAGGCCTATAATTTATACAATTTCATTAGGCGCGAACTTATTTTTTTTTTGAAAATTTTCGAAATTATATTTTTTTTTACCTAAAAAATTTTTTTTGTTGAAAAAATGTTCCTTATGTTTTATATATAATATTGAAGCCCATGATTTTCCAAACAAAATGGTATATAGAACATTAGAATTAACATTGTTTTAAGCTTCTCAGATCCGTTTTAATAAAACCTTGCAAATGCGCCAAAAATAGGTGGACATTAAGGCCTAAACTATGGACACTTGGAGGGTTAACCCCCTAAATAATCCTTAATGAGCGCTAAAATGCAAAGCGAAAAAAAAAAACAAAAAACAATCACTAATCCAAAAAGCAAAATGAATTTCATGGCTAATTCAGATATTCCAGGTTGAAGAAAATCGAGGTTAAAAATCTCTGTGAAGATTTGTGGTTTTGCTTTCATAAAGTCATATGAGGAAATTTTAAAATCAAGCTACCAACAGATAGCTTAAAACTCTGTTATTGCATTGTTTTACAAAATGTTGAGTATATTATGGATGAGACAACATGCAAACAAATATATAAGTAACTACAAGTGACTGACTACTTTAATCCTAACTACTATAACCACTTAACACATTGTTTTATTTCTAAAACAGTTAAAATTTCATTTTAACTACTAGTAAAGCCTTGTTTATTGGAATCTAGGATTACTTTATATTTCAGAAGAAAAAGACAGGGAGATTTTAGCTGATGGTTAGTTATTATGTTATTAACTCTACAATTGTGACTCGGGGGAGTAGTACTAGTAGTACTAGTATTATTATCGTTGTAAATGTACCTTTTTTATGTGACTATGTTCGTGTGCGTGTTTGCGTGTGAATGTACCATGTGTGAATCGACGACCTTCTGATGAAGTGATTATTTTGACATCCACTGGACGCCTGAGGATGACTTCTGTATGAAGACAAAACTAGTTGCGTGACAGAAATTGCGACTATTGGATTACTAGAAGCAGGTATTTAAACCAATTTATATATTCAACGTAATCCGGAGGCTAACATCAAAAATGAAAACTTTTGAAACTCAGTCTAATCTCAAGAAACCAAACATAGTTTTTAACAAGTGATGATTTACCTTCTTCAATAGTTTTGGAATGCTTAAAGTGTACCAATAGGTTCCAAATTCAAACAGCAATAAATAAAAAGTGAATCTAACTTTAAAATTTAAATTTGTGGCATTTTTTCAGTAAAACTCAAGCACAATCAAACATAGGCTATCATTGAAGATTTTTATCTAATAGTGGGGGAGCTACGTATATAAAAACTGCAAATTGTGATAAGAAAACCCCTTTTGGTAAGAATGTAGGTTATGGTCCGACAACAAAAATAAGATGGGGAGGCATTTCCTAAAGTTGTTATAATCCAAAATGGCGGCCATTTTTCAAAATGGCTGCCCGTATTTTGTGTTATCTTAGATATTCACTAATAAAAGCTTGAAAACGGCATTAACACTATTAAATATTGGTATAATCTTAATCTGGAGATTCCGGCCTTTAATTTAATACCAAGTTTGTAATACATTACAATTATATCATGTCTATAATCTAAGGCTGAAAATATACTAGTTTTCAGCCAATTCTGAAGGTCACCAAAAAGCTGTTTATTTAAGAGTTAAGTTATTCACCTACAACGTTTTATTTACAACGTGTTTTTCACATTTGCCTGCATCCATTTTGAGACATAAGGTAAATAAAAATACCCCCGCCGCAGCAAATCTGCAGACTAAGCGAATTTCCATTTGCCTGATTTGATTTTCAATTAAATTTATTTAAATAACATTAGGTTTTACGAGCACCTAGGTTTGCTGCTTACAGGGTAATAAAGTGTGTTTTTTACTAAAATATGAATAGCTTAGTATAAAATAAATGGATTGGGCAAGTTTGATCCAAATGTATGCATAAACAAGCAAAGTACAACGGTTTACTTATCCTCCATAAGAATAACATGGGAATTTTAATTTACAATTTTCCCCGTAACCAATAACCATACAAAACACTTCAATATATCGAATTATTTGTTTTTTAAGCTCATCAAAATGGTTTAGAGAAAATTTGGGAAATCTTATGTTTTGAGGTTCAAAAATAAGAAAAACCAATTTTTATCCCATAAATCCCCCCATAAAACCCCGTTCCCATGGTTTGATCATGCTGGTTCGCGAACTCGTTCAAATAAACGTAGGTTTACACGTTTGTACCAAATTTCATCGAAATCGGATCATTTTTGCTCGAGTTATCGTGCTAACGGATACACACGCACACACATATGTATATGAATTTGAACGGATGGTGTTTTTGGCTTCTAGGGACATTGAAATGAAAAAGTAAATCGGTCCTGGGACTAAGTCTTACCCTGAGACCTATGGTAATAGCTTATTCCCTATAGGGAAATTTGCTAATAATGTGAAATCACTGTAAAGAGAGTTTCTTCTTCTTCTTTGAGATATTTTACCCATTAAAATATAAGAGGATAAAAATGTTAACAAAATTATGACACTTTCAATTATTTTTCTCAAAAAGGTTGGCAATGCTAAATAGACAAATATTGCCAACAGCTGATTCTACAGGTCATTGTTGTGTTTATTATAATGTGTCGCTCACGTTCTGAGTGTAGTTTTATTAGGAAAACCTGTACAAATTTGGCCGTTACACCGGGCCTAACACGGTGCCAGTTCTAGGGGTTTTATTTTTTTCTGATTCGAGTGAATGAAGATTGGACTCTAAAAATGGCGAAGCCGTTACACTTAGTTCCTCAGAGTGACTTGGGTAGATATTAACCAAAAGTTGTTGATTGGATCATTTTTATACTGTGCCAAAACAAAAGACAGATAATGATAGTTTGCTTTGTTCTGCAAATAATAAAAATGTAAATGCTTGCAGCACCGGATATGTAACGCTTGTCAAAAACTTCAGAACTTTGATGATAGAAATGGTTTACTCGCCGAAATTTATATAGATATAAATGTTTTCAATGAATATCTGTGTGGAATGAAATGAGTCAGAAATACCCTCACCATAGCAAACCTGCAGACTAAGCGAATTTCCAATTGCCTGAGTTGATTTTCAATTAAACGTATTTAATTAGCATTAGGTTTGATGAGTACCTAGGCTTGCTGCTACAGGGAGAGTAAAAAAGTGCGTTTTTTATTAAAATATTAATTACTTAGTATAAAATTAATAAATTTACCAAGTTCGATTAAAATGTATACATAAATAAGCAAACTACAACATTTTGTAACATTCTCCATAAGAATAACATGGGAATTTTAAAATAACAATTTTTGGAACTTTATCCGTAACCAATAATTGTACAAAAACACTTTTATATACTAAATTATTTGTTTTTTTAAGCTCTTTGAAAAGGTCTGGAGAGAAATTGGGACATGTTGTGTTTAGAGGGTCAAAAATTGAAGAAACCAATTTTCACATCATAAAACCCCCCGTAAAACCCCGTTCCCATGGTCCGATCTTGCTGGTTCGCGAAATCATTCAAGTTTATCCCGCCTTACACCTTCAAACCAAATTTCATCAAAATCGGACAAAAAATACTCAATTTATCGCGTTCACGGACACACACACACAAAATATATACATATTTACAAATTTGAACGAATGGTGTTTTTGGCCTCTGGGGACACAATGAAATGTAAATCGATCTCGGGCCTAGGTCTTACCATGCCACCTACGGTAATAGCTACTTTCCCATAGGCAAAATAGCTAAAAATGGTGTTGGTGGAAATATTCTGCAACTTATAAAATATAGCGTGTTTTTTATTTGGTGATACACATTTTCTGTAAATAAATTTACGTTTATTACCTTATTACTGAACTTATATACTTAGCTAATACCTAAAAACCTTAAGATTTATCAGAAACACCATTTTGCATGATGTATATCAAAAGAAAATATATAAAACCCAAAATACGGGCAGCCATTTTGAAAAATCGCCGCCATTTTTATTATAGCAACTTTTGTCGGTGCCTCCCCATCTCATTTTCATTGCCCAACCTTACACTACATTCCAACCAAAGGGCATACTCTTATCACAATTTGCAGTTTTATTATGGTTTTTTTACTGTAGCTCCCCCACTATAACTCTTTGTGAAATGTACCAAGAAGTAATTTTGTCAGTATTGGCCCAGTTATGTACATTACTTCCAAAAAGTATGCACTTGGGTTTTTCTTTGTTGCAATTTGAAAGATGATTCCTGGTTCAGTTGTCTACTTTGAAAGCTATAGGCTCGCAGCAGGAAAACATGGTGTACAGGAAATAAAAGAGTCCCATTCCAGGATTACTCGTTAAAATATATCATGACTCACACAGCAGTGATTTACAATTAGGTCAAACGATAGTTTAGAACAAGGAAAATATGTACTTAATACGTTAACAAATTTTCTTTGAGCTTTTCTACATGGGCTGTTCGTAAATTAAGATCTATATTGAGCTCCAGTTGTGGCCAAGGAAGCTAGTTCAAATTTAAGACCAACGCCAAGTTCTTTACTGCATCCATAATTAACCAACCCCTAATGAAATCCACCAGTTGACAGGCGTGTATGCAAGTAGGTGTTGAGAAGTAGAAAAAATGCATAAGTGGCTTAGGGAGTGTGCAACGAGGCCAGAAGAGGATGTTTATCAGTTTGTTTATATCAAAACCATGATTAAGTTTGAAGAATCTTTGTCTCTTGATAAGGCATTTTAACATTACTAGGGTTTACGGTTCTTGATAGTCTAATAAAGGTGTTCATAGTTTGGCAATCTCTCGTTCAGTTACACTGCGATCCACATGCTAAATTCCCTTAACTCTCTCAAAGTTAACTGATAGAAAACAGCAACTAGCCTACTCCGTGCAAAACATTATAAATATTGTGTAAATAAATGTTTATGTCCACCCCCGAATTCCCTCCAACTTCACACACATTTTCTACGTCCAAACACTTTACTTCATTCACGCCCATCAACTGGCGATGTAATTAAATACCAGTCAAAGCCTGTGACTACAGAAATCTCAACGTTGAACACAATTTATTCTTGGTGGGAGCGTCAAATTATCTTAATATCGCTTAGCATTGCACTTGGGGTGGAAATAGACTAGAGTAATGGTGGATGAAGTAAATACCACAGTGCTGGTATTTATTTAAACCAGCCCGTTTTGCTACAATGGAAACTTCAAGGAGACCTTAATTTAGAGACAAATCCTATATTTTCAACCATAAAGCACTAAAATTATTTATCGACCCAGACAAACCGCATAAACAAGGTTTTACTCAACCATAATTCTAAACTAGAACAGAAAATGACTTGCCTGGTGTGGTCCAAGTCATTGCAGACAATTCCCATGAACGTGGCTAGTTTGGGTGACATGTATCTGAGTAACACACAAATATGATGCACATGCTTGCTCATCCATAAAATACTTGACATTGATACTTCCACTAAGACTTGGCAGCTGTCATTGCAGTTAAGGAATATAAGATAAGATTGAATTTTTAATGAAAACTTACTTTGGTAATAATACAATAATTTTAGTTGAAGGCTGTTTGTTCTTAATGGAAATATCAAAGAAATGTGCAGTAATAAATTTAGAAAACTGTAAAAGCAACTTGCAGATTCAGATTTCATAACAGCCAATTTAATTTTGCTATGTAAGCAAGTTTTCATATTAAATAGCAATACTTAACCATTGTTGATAAACTGGCATGGCTCATTCTTATATACGAATTGTGTATGTTCTGCGAGTTATTTGGAATAGTTGTAAAGCCAGAAACAAAAGGGTGGTGATCCAGAGAGTAGTCACCTAAATTTTTACTTCAAATATTTTAACTTGACCAAGGCTTTAAAAACCTTGAGTGCTTTAGAAAAATATATTTAATTCATATGCAGTGGAACCTCAATAATAAGACACTTTGATAACAAGTCACACTTGATAACAAGTGTCATTTTGAAATCCCCTAGAATTTATTTTACCCCTAATCACACGTTATTACCAACCTCTATAAGAAGTCAACCTTGATAACAATTATTGTTTAATAAACCCCAAAAGAGTGTTGTTATCGAGGTTCTAATGTGATTTAAAAAATTAGCCAAAATTGTTGAAAATAAAAAATATTCAAGTTTGTTAGGGGGCAGTCCAGTGAAAAGGTACCACAATATGGTTCTTAGTTTTAAATGACGAATTCGCTATATAAAAGGAAACCTTAAATTATCTAGAGTGAGAATCGTAAGTGAAAGTAAACTAATTTTTTTACTTGTGTGGATTACTTGATTGTTTGGGTTATCCGGAATTAAATAAGCAACGTTTGGAAAGTAAGTTCAGTTTCCATTTTTCTCCGCGACCACGCTACGATCGTAGTCTCCCGCTTTCTCAACAGCAGCTGAGAGTCAAGACAAACAAAATGACACCATTTTGAGCTCGATGTTGTGTGCACAGTTTGTAGCGATTCTTTTCAAGTGCTCACTTGAATTGGGAAGTTAGGTCTATAATTTGTTTTCTGAGTGCCAGAAAAGTTAAACCAATACTAGATGAAAATATTTTATGTTTAAAAGCCCTGACGTCGCACCTAGCTATTTAAACCCGTTTCTTCATTTAAATTTTTTCCTTCGCGGGCAGCGCTTCAACAGCGATGAAAAGCTGAAAGAAAATATTACCACATGATCGAAAAATCAGGAGGCAAATTTGTTAAAGAGTTGTAAAATACTTAGAAGGGTAGGGTTTAGAGTATTTTGCAAAATAATTTTTTTTACTTCAGAACTTTAAATAAATAATTTAAACTTTAAATAACATAAAAAGTATTACAACAGGCATAATATGTAATGTTTATGTATATCAATATTTTAAGAAATTTTATGCTCTAATACATTTTAAATGTGTACTCACTGTAACATGAAAGCGTTGTTTTTTGCCTACTTGCCTACAAACCACCATTCAACAAGGTTATACACTCAAAAATTAATTAATTTTCAATTAATTGAGTTATTAATTAATTGATGATGGTGCTTGGATAGTACTTGGGTACATAATGCCCTATTCCTCTTAAAAATGAAACTCCCATTTTCAATTATACAAACAGTTAACTGGAAACTCAATTAACATAGCGTTTAGCAAAGAACAACCCCTATTTATCTTTAATAATAAAACTCCCAGTTAACAGTTAACTGTATTAACTCAACTAACAAAATTTTAACAACTAACAAAAGAATACTAAATTTTGTTAGTTCCCACAACTTATTCTATTAACCATTTAATGAAATAAAACCTCCTAACAATAACTAGCTTATTTGTGAAATAAAAAAGTAACAAACGGGAAGTGATACGAGTATTATAACCCAAGTTGATAAAACTTGAGTTAATTGGTGGGTAGCCAATGAACAATGTGTATGCTTACTGCACTTAGAGAATTTTGCCATGCCAGTTGGAAGTTTTTATTATATTTTTTTTTTTTTCAATTTAAACAGTGAATGAAATGAAATGTGAAAATTGTGTAGGGTAATCAAATATAACATTTTCCAAGAGAGGTTTTAGCTAAAGCAAAAGATAAGAATATCGATTAGCAGTAAAAACTGTGGGAAATGAACTTGGGTTATTAAATGAAGTGGGTAAAAATAACAAGTTGTGTATCAAGAATTCTATCAGATCAAAACCATAATAAAATGCATAGCTTTCCACTATTTTTCAGACCATTTTAACCAAAGTTAACCAAAAACCTACCTTGACTAGTCTTATTTCACAATGATTTATAGTTTTAAGCCAATGCTTCCACAATGATACAAGTTAAGGTTCAATCACAGTTCTATATTTGTCAAATGGAAAGTCCTTTTCTAAAACAAGAGCTGGTCCAAAAATGTCTACGGCATAATTACTGCCACACATTATCACAACTGATGGCAATGTAAACTTGAAACAAAAAATCATAAAAGTTTTTAAGATTAAAATACAAACTATAAACTTCCCATCTACTTAATATTCCTCACAACCTGATTTAGGCTAATCCAGTTGACAAACACCTTGTTATGACTTCGTATTGCTTACAAGTTCTGTTTAGCGAACGGTGATGCAAGTTTTGTATTATTTTAAAAGAGGAGTAATATTCAACTTGTAACACTATTGTTCATAGATATGCCGCACATACCTTGAAGGCTTCACAATAACTATGTGAGATTCTGGGAATGATGTCTGTAAGATCAGAGCTGTGTTTTCCAAGTTCCATTTGAGGTAGTTCTTGTTGTCTCGGTGGCTCTCCATCACTTCAGGATAGTCCTGTTAATGGTAAAAAACTAATCAGAAATTCAATCAATTAATTACCTTTTTGGTTTTTCTTGCCTTGAAGTTCTTGTTGGTTTTTGATACCTGATGCGCATTTCGCCACAGGTTGTGGCATCTTCAGAGTTCACTATCCTACACTTACATTCTAATATATACACAGTTTATATACACAAGAGTCACTGTACCGGTTCACATGGTAGCGTTTACACTCGCGGCGCGGCGGGTGTGTGTTGCGAGCGCGGGGTGTTTACTTGTGCCGGGATCGTTGTTAGACTGACAGAAAGAGTGCCTGGTGGATGGACGGGTTGGGGTGTGGAATTCTCAGAATTGTTGTATCTGCGACGTTGTCTAGTTTCTGCGGGGTTGCCAAATCGGTTGGTTTCTATTTCGTACATGGTCTTAAAAATTATGGAGTTATTGAAGTCTTCTTTTATGTTAAGTAGGCTGTCAGGTCCAGATTCGGTAACTTGTTTATAGATTTGGTAGCTTTCCTGTATTTTGGCTGTGGTTTTTGACTGGGTTCTGTTCAGGATAGTAAGGGAATCGGGGAATGTTATTGAATGAGTATGGTTTTGTTTGAGGTGTTTTGCTACTATTGAGGTTGGATTTTTGTAGTGACTAGTGTTGTGTTCTTTGAAGCGTTGGGAAAATGATCTATTCGTGTAGCCAATATATTGTTTGTTACATGGTGGATTGCAGGTTATTTTGTATACTCCTCTGTCTTTTTCTATTGGTCGGGCCTTTGTACTTGCTTCTATGTTGTATAGTGGTATAGGACAGTTTTTGACTTGGTATGCAGGAGTGTAGCCAGATTTCTTGAAAACTTTGCCAATTTTCTCTGATATTCTGCCAGTGTATTTGATTGATATATATTTTGGGTTTGGTTCGGGATTTTGGGCAGTAGTCTCGTTTTCAGGTCCGTGTTTTATTTTCCTTTTCATTTTGTTTATAATGGGGTCAATTATGGTGGGGTTGTATCCATTGTTTTTTGCTATTGTCTTTATTATATTAATTTCTTTTGCATATTCCAGGTCGTTGAGGTTGTAATTTAATAGCCTATAGACTAATGAACGGAAGGCAGCCATTTTTTGATTGTATGCATATATAATTCAGCTAGTGTGGCAGATAAAGGTCCACCCATGGGAAGGCCTTTGGGGTCATAGTAGATATTTCCCTTGTATGAAAAGTAGCTCTGTTTAGTTATTATGGTAGTTATTTTGATTATGTCATTAATTTCATTTTCTAAAAAATTGTTAGATGATTTTAGTCTATTTTTCAGAACTTCTATTGCTTCATTACGTATAGGAAACCCACCCAAACGGACCTCATAATACCTGCCGACTCCAACCATCCATACAATCAAAAAATGGCTGCCTTCCGTTCATTAGTCTATAGGCTATTAAATTACAACCTCAACGACCTGGAATATGCAAAAGAAATTAATATAATAAAGACAATAGCAAAAAACAATGGATACAACCCCACCATAATTGACCCCATTATAAACAAAATGAAAAGGAAAATAAAACACGGACCTGAAAACGAGACTACTGCCCAAAATCCCGAACCAAACCCAAAATATATATCAATCAAATACACTGGCAGAATATCAGAGAAAATTGGCAAAGTTTTCAAGAAATCTGGCTACACTCCTGCATACCAAGTCAAAAACTGTCCTATACCACTATACAACATAGAAGCAAGTACAAAGGCCCGACCAATAGAAAAAGACAGAGGAGTATACAAAATAACCTGCAATCCACCATGTAACAAACAATATATTGGCTACACGAATAGATCATTTTCCCAACGCTTCAAAGAACACAACACTAGTCACTACAAAAATCCAACCTCAATAGTAGCAAAACACCTCAAACAAAACCATACTCATTCAATAACATTCCCCGATTCCCTTACTATCCTGAACAGAACCCAGTCAAAAACCACAGCCAAAATACAGGAAAGCTACCAAATCTATAAACAAGTTACCGAATCTGGACCTGACAGCCTACTTAACATAAAAGAAGACTTCAATAACTCCATAATTTTTAAGACCATGTACGAAATAGAAACCAACCGATTTGGCAACCCCGCAGAAACTAGACAACGTCGCAGATACAACAATTCTGAGAATTCCACACCCCAACCCGTCCATCCACCAGGCACTCTTTCTGTCAGTCTAACAACGATCCCGGCACAAGTAAACACCCCGCGCTCGCAACACACACCCGCCGCGCCGCGAGTGTAAACGCTACCATGTGAACCGGTACAGTGACTCTTGTGTATATAAACTGTGTATATATTAGAATGTAAGTGTAGGATAGTGAACTCTAAAGATGCCACAACCTGTGGCGAAATGCGCATCAGGTATCAAAAACCAACAAGAACTTCAAGGCAAGAAAAACCAAAAAGGTAATTAATTGATTAAAACTGTTCTTGTAACTGGGTTATATCATAAAAAAAAAAAGAAATTCAATATTTTGCTTGGTGTCAAAGCAGTTTCAATTATGGGTAAGGTACCCAAGCAAATAGTCTGATTCATAATTAAATAGAGAGAATGTTTCATATTTAGTAATTAATACAAGAATTATTTGCTGATTCGACTTCATAGGTGTTCTCAATATTGATTCATTCAAAGTTATTAGTTAGTTTCCAAGCTAAACAAAACAGTAAACATATATTTTGAGGTTTTAAAAAACAATAATAATATGAAATACCATCAAGTTAAGCTACAAAAAAAACCGTCGCAGCAAACCTGCATACTAAGCGAATTTCCATTTACCCGGCTCGATTTCTACTAAATTATTCCCTATAAATTTTCAGATTTATTTCCTATTTAAATAACATTAATTTTAGTGAGTAGTTAAAGGTTTGCTGCTACGGGGAAGATGTTGAGATGTGTTTTTTCAATTGAAATATTGATAGCTTAGTATGAAATAAACAAAATTCCCAAATTTGATTAAAATATATTCATAAACAAGCAAACTAGAACAGTTTATTTATTCTCCATAAGAATAACATGGGAATTTTAAATTTAAGATTTTTTTAATTTTCTCCGTAGTCAATGAACATTAAAAAACACTTCAATATACTAAATTATTTGTTTTTTTAAGCTCTTCAAAATGGTCTAGAGAGAAATTTAGAAATTTTAAGTTTTTAGGGTCAAAAATGAGAAAAACCCATTTTTACCCCATAAAACCCCCCATAAACCCCTGATCCCATGGTCCGATTATGCTGGTTTGCGAACTCGTTCGAATAAATGTAGGTTTACACGTTTGTACCAAATTTCATCAAAATCGGATCAATTTTGCTCGAGTTATCGCGCTAACGGACACATATATATATATATATATATATATATAAATATATATATATATATGAATTTGGACGGATGGTGTTTTTGGCCTCTGGTGACCTCAAAACGAAAAAGTAAATCGGTCCCGGGTCTAGGTCTTACCATGAGACCTACGGTAATAGCTTATTCCCTATATGGGAAATTCGCTAAAAGAATAGAGCTGAAAGATTGGCAAAAGAACCGGAACCGAGAATCGATGGTGAAATCGGTACCGAAATTTGTAACCAATATTCCCGGAAAATTACCAATATTGCCACAGTTGCGCAAGATGACAATGACGCTTTTGTGACCGCGGGAGTCAATGATCAATCCGTGACCGTGGGAGGTGTTCATGATTTTGCGGACGATGATGAAGACGTTTCCCTGACCGCGGGGATGTTGATGATTTTGCTGCGATCGTGGATGATAATGATGACGTTTCCATGACCGCTGGAGTTGATGATGATGTCTACACGGCTGCGGGAGATGTTCATGACTCTGCCGCTATTTCAGAAGACGATGATGACGTTTACACGGTGGCGTAAAAAAGATGTTCATGATTTAGCCACAATCATGGAAGACTATGATGATGATACCGCAATCCCGGGATACGATGATGACGTCTACATGGCTGCAAGAGATGTTCTGATTGATGTTCTGCCACCGCGGGAGTCGTTGACGACATTTCTGTGACCGTGGGAATAAGTGATGATGTCTATAGGGCTGCCAAAGATGTTTATGATATTTTTCATAATCGCAGACGACGAAAACGATGACGTTTCCGTGACCATAGGAGATGTTCATGATCTTGCCTGCGATCATGGGAGTCGTTGACGACGTTTCTGTGACCGTGGGAATAAATGATGATGTCTATAGGGCTGCTAATGATATTTTTCATAATCGCAGACAACGATGATGATGATGTTTCTGTGACCACGGTAGATGTTCATGATTTTACCGCAACCGTGATTGACGATGATGAAGTTTCTGTGACCAGAGTTGATGATGATGTCTACACGGACACGAGAGATGATCATGACTTTACCGCGATCGCGGGAGACTATGATGACATCTACATGGCCGTAAGAGATGTTCATGAATTTGCCGCGATTGTGGCTGACGACGATAACGTTTCCACGATCCCGTTTCTGCGATTCCGTGAGACAATGATGATGTCTACATGGCCTTTTTAAAAATAAGTTTTTTTTTCGTAACTCCCTAAGTATGACCAACCTATACTAATGCAAAATACTCAGTTTTAAAAATTGCAATATGCATATTTTGTTTTAAAAATAAAAAATTAAGTAGCCTATCCTAAAAATTTTTAAATACGGTACCGATGGTGCCGGAACCGAGAATTGATTTTGTCTAGGAACCGGTACCAACATTGAAAAAGTGGTACCGACCCATCACGAAATAAAACAAAAAAGCCAATGGTGTGGGAAAAATATTTAATCTGAATCCAAACAGCGTACACAAAATAAAAACCCAACACATTTATCTACCTGGACATCTCCCCCAAAGTACACAACGGCAGAGTGAGGCAGCTCCATGTTCTTAGGTGTGCAGTAGATGACGTCGTTGGTGCGTCCCTCGTACCCCTTCACCTCCTGAACTCGCAAAGGACAGGGCAGGGTTGGACACCCCATCATCCTGCCTTGCGCTTCCTGCAATATCACCACACAAGGTTACGTTACATTGCACCAGAGAAATGTCTGTGTAAAAGGTTACTGTATTTAAATTAAAAACATGAAGCTTGAATTGTGGTCTTTGTCTGAAATACTACAGGATGTCTAGCCAACTGGGAATTGTACATGAGTTTTGTATGGATCATTGAAATTGGGAACAATTTTCAATAGCCTATAGCCGACTTGGAATTGTACATGAATTCAGTGGTGGCTAGCCCATAAGGACTCTCGGACGCCGTCCTCCCAATAATACATAAAAAAATTACATTTTAATATTCTTAAGTTAAATTAAATTAAAATTACTTTAACGATTACTTTATACAATATACAACATAAATATATCAAATAATTGGATAACTAAATTCAGTAATGACTTATTTTTGATAGTGGCTTGCTTAGTAAGGACGACGCGGACGGCGGCCAGACCGTCCCAATCCCAATATTGCTGTTTTACTGTTACCAATGCTTTTCACATTGTTTTAATAACATCAACTGTTTTTTTTTTTTTTTTTTTTTTTAAGTCTCAATTTGGCTCTTTGCTGGGGAGTATTTCATTTGGTCCAAAATCGTTTGGTCCACAAGTTTTAAAACAGTTCGTTTGGTCCAAAATCGTTTTATGATCCAGTTGGGGAGTATTTCATTTGGTCCAAAATCGTTTGGTCCACAAGTTGTAAAACAGTTCGTTTGGTCCAAAATCGTTTGGTCCACAAGTTTTAAAACAGTTCGTTTGGTCCAAAATCGTTTGGTCCACAAGTTTTAAAACAGTTCGTTTGGTCCAAAATCGTTTGGTCCAAAAGTACAGGCAAAACCAGAATTGTGTATTGTGGAGTAAACTTATGAAATAGACTGTACGTTTCACTGTGGACCATTCGATCGGGTCGTTTTATTCAACACTCTATTACGAGTTCGTTTGGTCCAAAAGTATGAACTATTGCGTCCCTCACATAGAAGGCGTTCAAATAATCGCCGTCACGTCGTCAACCCAACCGCCTGCCTTCCGAGGCCTATTATTTGTTGTTTTGTGATATGTTTCTAAATAATATATATGTTTGCATTTCTAAACACGTACATATACATATATTTATTTATATATAATGTGTTTGTGTAATGTTTACTTTTTATCCCCAGTCAATCTTAAAACAACGCGTTTTAATTCCCTAGATTTGTGGATAAATATTGACTTTGCTTTGAGTTTGCATTTAATGTTAAACAGATGGTTTATTTTTTAATCTTACTAATATTATAAATCTAAAAGTTAGTGAGTTTGTGTGTGTGTTTGTGTGTTGCTCAATCACGCATAAACTACTGGACGGATTGGGCTTAAATTTGGCATGATAATAGCTCACATTCCCGATTAATATTAAAGCATATTATTATCCCAAAAATCCTTTCGGGCTCCGCCCCAGTGGCTCTACTGGCTCAGATGCTACTGCAAACCATCTGTCAAGATATAGGTACTACTGTAATTTAAGGTTTCTGTGTTTGGATGTTATTAGACACGATAAGAACACAATGAGCTTCTTCTGCAGATGAACAATCTGTTGGTTACGAGAAATATAAGCCGAATTAATAAATGCCACAATTCAAGCGCATTAAATTGACTTTGGTCTGAGAAACTGTTTATAGTATGGAGTTTGGGCCTTTTTGATGTCACCATCTGGGTAAGTAACTTTGAGAGATCAATAATTTTTGTTGCTGAGTAGCGCCAGTAAACATGCGCATCACTTCTTTAGTTGAATAACATTCACTGACTCCATTGTGTATTCTTTCACTAAGCTGAATGAATGCATCAAAGTAAACTCTCTAAAAGTATGTAATAAACTGGAATTTAGGATTAATAACTTTCTATAACTTATCATGCATTTATTCATAAAATTATTAAAAATTTTATCCAGTTACTGAAAACCACTATTATTAAAAAAAAATATGGGCAACGTGCCTGAATGTTTGTCTCAGACAATTATGCATATCACAAAGAGTAGACCTATAATTGATGTACCTTAATGATATGTCTATGATAAATAAAAGTAGCCTATTTAACATTCATTTTCATAGACTGTAAAAGCCTTCTGCACTTTTATTATTCTGTATCGTATTACATAGCCTAATGGGAAATTGTCCAATGATTAAATACACATGTATAACAATAATCTCGTGATGATCTGTCAGTATTGAATAATAAGACAAAATATCGGCAAAAGTAGTCAAAAAGGCAGACACCAACCAGTACAATAGATATAACATAATGCAATAAGAAATGATTGAAAGAGTTACTGTAATATTAAGATTATATAACTGTTCGTAATGGAACGTTATATTGCTAAACATGACATTATACAGAATAACATCAATTTTAAAATAAGAAAATAAGATCCTTATATATAATTCTGTAAGACAAAATTTTTACCAGGAAATTGTGGACGTCCAGAAAATATGAGTAGGCTAATTAATGTAATTTTCATGTTCTATTTTAACCTTTTGATTAAGAATTATAGACAACCATGATCAATAGTAAACACTCCATTGTAAATAGGTACCGGTACAACAATACAAATTAAGGTGTATGATAAACATTTAAAACACGTTGGTCCACTGAACACTCTGTATATTAGAAGGTCGCCAAATGTGATAAAAACTGTTAATTTATAAGATTTCCAACCGTATGATACACTATTGAGCTTTAAGTTTGTTTATGTACGCTTTAGTGGTTTGAATACAACAAAACATGGCGTCTTTAACGTTAAAAACATAGAAACTCAACATGTTTAAAGCAAAAATTGTATTAATATTATTATTGTATACGACGGCGGATATTTGAACGCCTTCAATGTGAGGGACGCAATAGTTTATACTTTGGACCAAACGAACTGTTTTACAACTGTTGGACCAAACGATTTTGGACCAAATGAACGGCAATATAAACGTACAGTATATTTCATAAGTTTACTCTACAATGCAACATTTTACTTCTAGTTTGGCCTGTACTTTTGGACCAAACGATTTTGGACCAAACGAACGTGTTTTTAACTGTTGGACCAAACGATTTTGGACCAAACGAACGAGTTTTTAACTGTTGGACCAAACGATTTTGGACCAAACGAACGGCAATATAAACTGTGGACCAAACGACTTTGGACCAAATGAAATTGGATAAAACGATTTTGGACCAAACGAACGAGTTTTTAACTGTTGGACCAAACGAACGGCAATATAAACTGTGGACCAAACGACTTTGGACCATTTGAAGATGATCCCTTTGCTGGTCTTTTGGATTGTTTTGTTCTTATCTCTTTTTGTTGCCCTCAATAGTACTTATTTTAAAATTGTTGATCATATATTTTTTTCAGTGTGTTAAATCTTGTAATTAATTGTTAGTAATTAAGTTGTCGTTTGTTTTAAATTAAACCTGCTTGTAGCTTGTCATCTTGTTAATTATAAAATTGTTGTAGCCTACTGAATTATGTTATTATTTTGTAAACTGTTTCATGCCGAGAATAAATTAATTGAATTTAAAAGCACATATTTTTTTTTTTTTTGCTTGATAAAACCCTCGATAATGAATTATACAAAACCAGCTCTGATATTACAAAGGACAAAAACTGACTTTTCCAAAACCTAAAAATTCATTTAGGTTTGCACTCTTGTAAAATTTGACAATGGTTGCAGCTAGTAAGGTAATGAAAACAAGGTTTTAAATCCCTGTCCATAAGACTGATAGCGTAAGCAGTTCTGCATTAAATATTGGTGTAGGGCCAACTATTCCATATTACTTGTAGGTGATAACCACTTAAATGTTTTTTTTTTTTTTACTGAACATCTTTTTTACGTAAAATGGTAGAGAAATATGTTTAGACTCTGCAGCTAGGATGTTCAGTAAACATACCTAGGGCTTACATCATAAAAGATATTGTTTGAACATTTTCAATGGTTAAAAAGCTCTTTCTCCATTTACCTTTTGGGCTGTATTTCCCGTAGTGAATAGACGTTTTATGCAACATGCAAGAGTAGAAGAAAACCTCATTCACAGCATCGTTAGGTAAAATGTACTGTCTCCCCCTCCTGCAAACAAATATGGAATTTTAGAGGGGATACAGAGTACCTAGTAGAATTTATAATATCGATAGCTTAGAGTCTACCAATTGTTCATATAAGGCAACAATATACATTATGTCATTTGTTGTAAGGGTCATTCCATACCCAATCAACCAAATTGACCATTATGTTGACCATTCAGCTTACAAACTGAATTTGAGAAAGTGTGTGGAATGGACTGCGATGCCTAGAGTAACCTCATTTCTAAGATCAGCCAGGACAATTCTGTGCTCATAGCAAGTTTCACTGCAGGCTAATGAATACAAACCCTTTAAGAAGATAAATGCTTATGGAGAATTAATAGTCAGACTGGGGTTTTTGCGCCTAAATGAGCTTTGCACAGTCACCGCTGGGATCACTCACGCGGCGGCTGCACTACTCTGTCTCACTCCCTCTCACTCAGTCAGCTGACTTGGCCACACGTTCGCTACTGTATACCTAGCGGCCGCCGCGGGAACTATCCAAAATTCAAATATTCCCAGGCTGAATTTTAACAAAGGCATTGCACTTAGGTTTTGTATTCATTGCTGCAATTCTTGTTAACAGCTATAAGTATTCATACTGTACATAACTTTTGCTGACAAACTCCAATTGTAACAATGTAAAGAATCCCACCTTTGAACACATTCAAAGTAATAAGGGGAGAGCTTGCAGCCTGCCCTGGACCACCATAGATTTTAAGATGTAAAAAGGCCTAATAACCGGATTTACTACTCCTTTTTCCAAGTTAGCCTACACTGGCCATCATCAAGCCCCAACCGTAGTGATGTGGGTCGGGTAAATACCCAGTGGGTAGGTAAATATAAATTGGGTATTTACCCGGGTTTTTACCCCAGGCCCGGGTAAATACCCAAAAACTGGGTATTTATAATTTTTATTAAAGTTAGAGAAGATTTAGATGTTTTTTTGCAATTATTACCCTGTAAGGATAGTAAAATGATGATAAAATGTGTTAAACAAAATTTCATATGGTCACTACTAGCATTTTACTTATGGGTATAATCGCCATAAATACCCAGGTCTGAGCATAAAGCATTATCGGCATAATACCCTGGTCGCATGGTTGCACTGGTCCTGACTCCTTATGATTTTGTAATTTCTATGATAGATAAATGCATTTATTTTATTGGAAGTGAAAAAAAATAATTTGTAAAGTAATAATTATTATTTAGAAAGAATGACAGGAAGATTTAACCTATAGGTCGGCCGCTTAGAAAACGACCTTCTCCAGCATTGGTTTAGCATTAGCGCGCAGGTCGTTTTCTAAGCGGCCGAACTATAGTAGTGGCCTATGTGTAAACATTTTATGAAAATAATTAAAACTCAATCTGTAGGATATGGCAGGATTTAATAATATTTTTGTTCTAGATCTTTTGTTGGTATCAATGGTATCAAAATAAAAAAAAACCTAATTTCATAAACTTGTGATACAAAACATTTGAATCTATAGCACAATAAATCTTTCAAAATTATATTAAGTTAGACCAAAAAACAGGAGTTACATTTTTTTAGTAGGTTTATCCAAATATATTATTGTTTCCAACTAAGCGGTAACACAGAAAAGTTTAATTACTTTTAGTATTCTGCCATTCTGCCTATGTCAATCAGGCTTAGGTCTGTCTAGCCTTCCAAGCCATTTATACAATAGAAATTTTAACTATCATAATTAAATAACAGTAAAAGTAGGTTTAGGTTCACTATTTCTCTGATGAGGTGTTGTCTTGATTTCATTTCATAGGGAGTGTTTAGTTTCTAGCATTCTCAATCAAAGGTAGCATCACAGGCTTGTTTTATTACTGCACACCTGCACACCCAGCCTGTTTATGTTATGGTTATAAATTTATAAAATGATAAAAATTGAAATAGACACAGCCTTTTTTAATATCCTATTTTTTATTATGTTTAATTTAACTGATGTTACTCGATTTAAGACACGAAACCCCATGCTTATTAAGAAACTTTATGTATTATTTACAAAAAAAGTGCTAAATCATTAAATAAAAGGTACTATCAAAGCTTCAAGTTACTGTAAAAGGTGTTATAGGCTATCCTAATTTATCATGTAGTGATAACAATAACATATTTAGGGGTAAATATAAACGAATTTAAATTGATTTCATAAATACCCAAAATACCCGGGTATTTATGGATTTTGGGTATTTACCCGGGTAAATACCCAGGGTATTTACCCCGAGTTTTAAATACCCAGGTATTTTACATCACTACCCAACCGGACACTTACTGCTGTAGATTTTTGTTTTGAGTGAAAATTTATTTTAAATGTCCACATAAAAATATGTTAAATATAGTTAGTTTTTGCAATACTTCTTCGTTTTTAAAGGCCGTGCAACTTTACAGAATATAAATACAATAATTACTCGAAAGATACAATAAGTAAACACGTACATACATGATTAATAAACGGTATGAGCAACCTGACATATATTTTCTCCCATTAGCTTGTCAACAACCATTATCATGGGTAAGCGGTGGGATTATGATATTTTATAGGGAAAATCAAAAAAGTTGAAATAACTTTTGAGGCGTAATTTGTACAGCAATGGGTGGTTGTACTATTTTTTTTAGAATTATAAGGAACATAACATACTAATTTCAAACAATAGTTATTTGTGCAACTAGTGAGAAAAGTGACCAATTGACTCACTCGAGAGAAATACTTACTCACAAGCCATAGGCGAGTGAGGAATGGTTTCTCGAGTGAGGCAATTGCACTTTGCACTCAAGTTGCACATTATATTTTTCCTACAGTTACCATAAAACAAATAAATTGGTAAAGAAACGTAACATATTTTTACACAGACGTGAACTTTTAATATGAAATTTAATGATACAACAGTACAACAGCTGACCAGCTGATTTACAGCCAGTGCTGCCAACGTATTTCACGCGCATACGAACTTGTCTGCATGTTACGCGCTCACTATTTTGTGCCTTCACGTTGCAAATCTGGAGTGAGTGAGACAAAGTAGTTAGAGTGAGACAATGTTAACATTGTCTCACTGATGAGCGAATTGGCCACTTTGCTTTCTCAAATCAGTGAGAGAACATTGAAAAACAAGTTTGTTTTCAAAATCAGATTTTCTGTTATTTTATGAAAAAATAACATAAGTTACAAAAACTTTCGAACTGTACTTTTTACAGCAATGGGAGTTGTACCATTTTGTTCAGAATTTAAAGTACAATAACATAGGTACTAAATTTTAATTAAAATCGTTCAGACCGTTTTTGAAAAAATTCCATTTTAAAATTTTTTTAGGGGGTTTTATGGGAAAATACCCATTAAAAATTCAAATTGAAAAACACCTGGAGATACCATGGATTAGTATACAAAATTCCATCACAATCGGACGACAATACACAATATCCACAAATACATACACACACACACATAACACTCAGACATCACTTCGAAAACAACTTTTTTTGTTCAGAGGGACCCAAAACGGGTTATATCCACTCAAAACTCAAACTCCAAAATTTTGTCAAACAGTTTAGTTCCATTTTGTTCATGATACTTCACCGTATAAGGGGAATTTAATCACATTTTATATTTTGCTAGTTTATTTACGCACTTTACTTCACCAATTTATTTTGCACACTCAACAAGGATTTTATTTATGAATAAAATAGTGAAGTGGAGTAGTAACTGATGAAGGGCGTGTTCTTCTTTTACTGCTTTACACGGTTTTATTTTAAATAAACATAGTCTGAATAAAAACTGTTTAATATAATGAAGTTACAATTTTTTTCTAACCTTTGTCATACGGTATTATTTATAATTTTCATTGCAGTAATAGTGGCTTGAAAATTTAAAAATCTACTGTATGATTTCAATGGGCCTATTTAAGTAGACTACTTATAATGTTGTAAGAGGCTCACAAAATTGTTAAAATTCATTCTAACAGCAAAAACAAATAGTATGTACTGCTTAATTGCTTTTAAACGCACATTTGAACCCCATGTACAAGATTTTTGGTGTATCTAAATTCCTTCCGCAATTAAAGAAGCACGTGTTTCAGCAGAGGTAGACAGATCTAAAAATAGAACTTCAAGTTATGCCCTCGCTACTGTTAGAATAGAAACCACTATTTCAATGCCATGTTGCTCAATCCATTGTAGGAATATTTATTGTAGAGATCATTCTATTCTGTTATCTGTTTTCTCCTAATAAACACTGATTTGTTACAAAATCATATCAATGTTGTTAGGAATAATTTTGCGTTAATTGTGTAAATATAAATCGTCCAATTTATATATTTTTCGGGGAAAAGATGCCAATCCAAACTGATTTTAAAACAGGTAAATTTTCAAATAAACAAGTTACTGGTACAACATTTTTGTATACCGGTCATAAATATATAAAAAAAACACAGTTTTCCAAAAATGTGCAAATAAAATTATTATTGAAGAATTTATTAGTAGGCCTACAGTTGAAAACATGCCACATAAACTTAAAAAATGTATTGTATAACATTATAGAATTAAAGTAACATGTGAATTTGGATTAATACCGATTAAAACTTACCATTTTACAAAGCACCTGTACTAAGAAATACATCCCTATTCCACAGATACTTTGCTGAAAATAGTGATAGTAAGCAAAAATGTCCGTAATATTTATGTACAAAAATAAAAATAATAAAACTTTATATACAATGTCTTCTAAGCCAATAAACCTACAATTCCGCAAATGGCTTAATAGTCCAATGATCTCCGTCTTCTATAACAAGCAACCGCTCTCAATCTTATCACTTCAAAACAAATACCGATATTTTCTTTAAAATCCCTCATTTTGACCCGCACTAACTCCCTCATCAGGTTGTAGCACATCGCCATCAGCCCCATGCCCAACAGAATGTAAACAAAGTTTATAACCAGCTTCGTCTGATTACCACTTTTTGATTCCGATATGTTGGCTCCAGGTACAAAATCGCCAAATCCGATTTTGCACAAGCTAGTGACACAAAAATAGGTGCTATCTAGATACGTCCAATCTTCCCAGGCTGAAAACATAAAAGAGCCCGTGGCGATGTACGCTCCCATCACCCACAGACAAGCTGTCGACGGCACAACAATCCTTGGTCCTTGAGACATGTCTCCTTCCATCCTCTTGTGTCTATCTTCCACACTGTATATGTACACTTTGGTATAAACCCATCGAAACACTTGGGCCAACACATTGCCCATATTCATGAAATACAGCGCATACAAAGGTATGCCGAAAACCGCATAGACAACAGTCACTAGTTTCCCCCAACTAGTTCTCGGCACCATATTCCCGTAGCCCAACATCGTGAAAACGGAAAGCGAAAACATCAAAGCGGCCGGAAAGGACCACCTCTCATTGACGTTTCTCGTGTCGTAACCTTTTTTCACAGCCTCGGCCACGTTTCCTTGGAAGTCCTTTAGTATTTCATTGGCCCTCATACTCCAAGCACTCTCGTTGAACACGTTCTCATCCGTAGTCAACTCCCAGAGTCGCAAGGCGATCCTGTACCGAGTGCTGTTGACTTTGTCAGTCTCAGGGACGTCCTTGTCTCCCTCTATGTGCATGAACGCTATTGCACCTACAACGGCGTACCCCACTATCAATCCGCCCACGCCGACCTGTGTGCACATAAACGCCACCAGCTTGCGACAGCAGTCTTGCAGCTTCTCCCGTGGGTCGCTTGCCACCGTGGACGTGCTAGACCCACGGCTCCTCACAGACCCAGGTAATCCGCGCCGCATGTTGCCACACACTGACAGACTGACACAAAGGCCGAGACTGCTCTGAGCTATTTCTGTTGGTGCTGTTGGCCCAATGCCAGCCTCTCTCCATATTTTTATACTGAAAATTACCGTTTTTGGCTCATATCACTTATTTTGTGACAAACCTTGACTATGTGTAGCAAACTCAATGCCGGTATATAGTTTTAAAAATAATAGCAGGGCATATATAAAATTATGGTTAACTAGCAGAATACCCGTCCTTCGTATGGGGTTGGCATATAAGTATAAAATGGTTATTGCAGTTATAATCATGCTTTGTGTTTGCAACGGAAGAGGACACGGTTTGAGAAAATTTGTTTTTTTTAATTTACGGAAGCTATAGTATAAAGCATATTACCATAGCCATAATGTTCTACCACTACACCTAAACAATAAAAAAGTAAATTATCGAATATTCGCACAATATCTATAAATTAAACATTATTTATAAATTAAAAACATAAACTTAACTGTAAACAATCCTACTTTAACAGTTCTCATTGTGCATTACTTGTTTTTTGCGGCTTTGTTCAAATGATCTATGTTGTCATAAATGAAAAAAATAATAGTGCTGCACCCTGTAGATGACATTATAACTTTTAATAATATTGAATATCATAGAATAATTTGTGTACTTGAAACAGCTGACAACATTCTTAAATCCCTTTTTATATGAATACTCATAAGGTTAACATGGGAAACTCCAGAGCCGCTGGGGCTGAGCCCGAAAGGATTTTTGAGATAAGAATATGTCTATATGTTAATCGGGAATGTAAGCTGTCATCATACCAAATTTCAGCCTAATCCGACCAGTAGTTAATGCGTGATTGAACTTCAAACAAACAAATAAATAAACAAACAAACACACAAACTTTCACATTTATAATACAGTAGACTCCCTCTTATCCGGACACCTTTTAACCGGACATCGGTTTAACCGGACTACACTCGGCGGAAATGACATCTCTTTACCCGGACAATTTTTATCAACACATTGGTTTAACCGGACTAGATCGGCAGGAAGTGGGCGGTACTGAAACGACTGTTCTCGTGGGAAAGATTTGAGACCAGTGATCACGTGTATAAATACAATGCTCTCCTAAATTTAAGTCGAATATCACAGTTAACGGTCCATTTTAACAAGTTTTTGGGGATGTCTGTTTAACCGGAAAACCCGTTATCCGGACTTGCCTCGGTCCCGAGGAGTCCGGATAAGAGGGAGTCTACTGTATTAGTAAGATAAGATTAAGGCAGCCTTAAAGTTGTCTATCCAACCAAGTAAAACAATAATAAGCCACCTTGTAAATAATGAAGTCAAGATTGGTATGTTTAACTACAATGATAATAATAAGTTAAAATACAAGAACTTAATATGGTAAGTATCCACATTAAATGCCAAACAATTGTTAATGGATTTTTTCAGGGATCATTAATGTAGTTTCCACCTCACTTGGACTAATAACTGCAATTGTATAATTGATTTGTGGATGTAATTTTGTACATAACATATAAGGACTGTACCTATTTATTTAATGTTAAGTAAATGTAATAATCCACATATATATAAATACCCCCACTGCAGCAAACCTGCAGACTAAGTGAAATTCCATTTGCCTGATTGGATTTACACTAAAATGTGTCCTTAAAAATATCACATTTATTCCCTATTTAAATAACATCAGTTTAACGAGTACCTATGTTTGCTGCAACAGGGAGGGTAAAAAGATGTTTTAGCAAATTTCCCTATAGGGAAGTAGCTATTACCGTAGGTCTCATGGTAAGACCTAGGCCTGGGACCGATTTACTTTTTCGTTTTGATGTCCCCAGAGGCCAAAAACACCATCTGTTGAAATTCATATATATATATATGTATGTGTCCGTTAGCGCGAGCACCCTGAATATTATATTTTTAAAAGAAGTTAAAAAACTTCTTTAAAAAAAATAAAAATATAATATTCAGGGTGCTCAGTTGTACTTATTTGATACAATAATTTAATATATATATATATATAGCCTATATATAGATATAGATATATATATATACATTTATAAAAATTTGAACGAATGGTGTTTTTGGCCTCTGGGGACATCAAAATGAAAAAGTAAATAAAAAAACACACTTTATTAGTTTCCCTGTAGCAGCTAACCTAGGTACTCGAAACATAAATGTTAATTTAATAGATTAATTGAAAATCAATCCAAGCAAATTAAATGGAAATTCGCTTAGTCGGCAGGTTTGCTGCAGCGGGGTTTTTTTTTTGTAAAATGTTAATAGATGAGTGAACGAAGTGAACGAATCTATGTATCGTGTATAGCGGAGTCGGAGAAAAGTTGTCCGCTTGTGAGTGTGTCTGTGTGTTCGCACCAAAAACTCAAGAACCGTCGCACTTATAGCGTTCAAATTTTGCACAAATAATTATGACACCAGTGGGAAGACACCATTAAAATTCTAGACGATTCCGCTAAGTAGTAATTATAAAACCATTAAAAAACATTTTAAATTTGTCCCATAAGAATAACATTAGGAGCTACCTTCTTCTTCTTTTTATTTGTTTACGTTTTACGAAAAACAATTTTGTTGTCTGATTAAGACAGAGAGAACTACTTTTACTCTTAGCTCTTTCATTCATGGAGTAAACAGTTATGGCGCCTATGAATATATATCATTATAATTTCACAGCTTTCAGAATAATAAATTGAACTTTACAATATTAGTTGGCAGTTATATACAGTTTATGTTCAGTATTAAAATTTGCCTTAACATTACAAATATATATGTATATATTTAGAAATAATCAGCTTTTTACACTATTCAATTTAATGGTGGCATTGACTATTAAATAGTCAAAGATATTAGCATTAGATTTCCCATCCTTATAGAACAGCTGAAGCCTATTTTATTGTTAGTTCCATTACGTTCATAAGAAATGTAAGGGGTCGTTTGAAAACTAAAAAGGATATCTAAAAAAGTATTCTTGAATTGAAATCATCGTAAAAATCTAGTTTAAATTGATGTGTCACAAAACTATCATTACATTTAAAATATTTTATTTATATCCAATATGTCATTCCAAGATAGTGGTCAAAAAAGGATTATCTATCGAAATTAGGAACTAGAAAATGAATAAATATCAGCAGTGGTACCAAGTCAAATTCTTGAAAAATGTTCATGCACGTGTTTTTTTTTAAATTTGTCAATTTTGAGAAAAGCCGCCATTTTTAATAGTTGTTTTAGGGGTTTTCTGTGGACTCTTTTTTTAATAACTTTTAGTATGTTACTCTGCAAACCCAACACTAAAAATAAAACTATAAAACGTAACATTAAAAAAAATTTTAAGGTAATTTCTTTATTTCTCTGACTACTACTGTAATTGTCTATTATGAAAAATTGAATTTTGTTATGTTTGAAAAAGTCTACTTTTTCTGTGTTCCCATGCTCGGATTTTGTCGGATATTTGTTAGTATATTATCCTGTATAAATGATTTCAAAATATGGCTTAAATTTTCTTAAAGTAATTTTTCCCACCTCGAAGTGTATTTCACCCGGATTAGATGTAGCGGTGTAGCGCACGTCAGGGCTAACGTTCCAAGTTGAAGACTGATAACAAATACAGTATATCCCATAATATATCCCATCTTCAAAGCGAGATAAAAACTGATGTGATGGTTATTATTGTTCGAAATTTAATGCCGATTTTTTGTATAGCCCCAAAATATGTATGTTCATATCACCCGAGTTTGTATTTGCAAAAACTGTAAGGTTTTACTAAAATAAATCTTTTAAATTTGGTATTTTTTGAATTTAAAGCTGTCTCATTTAAACAAAAATATAATTAAATAATATAAAAGTTGTTGTTATCTTGAAGTAGACTTAACGAGGAAGCTATTAAAACAAACCGGAGATTTTTAAGACGCTTAGTTGTCAAACTATATCCATTTTACTAAAAGCTTACATAAATCCAATATGGCGGAAGCTTCTTTCCAATATGGCGGCTTTCCGTCACTTCGATTTTTCTCGATTTTTAGTATGATGTTCTGGACCCCTTTGTTGACAAAATCCCATATATTTCATTTCTATTGCTTTAAGTTTGATGTTAGGCTTATTTTGACTCTAGATTGACTAGCCTATGTCCGGTTGTCTGTAGATGTCGTGTTTTGTTTACAATTTGTTTATATTTTTTTAGGGTTAGTTTCTCACTATTTGTGTCTCACTGTTTGGTGTTGTGGACGAGTTATTGTTTATGATTAGATAGTTTTATTTGTTCAAACGAGGTTTTAAGTTACTGGAATAACAAGAAACTAATTAAAACAAAAAATGACATCTATAGAAAACCGGAGAGAACTAACAATAAAATTAGATTCAGCTGTTCCATAAGGATGGGAAATATATACTATGCTTAATCTATGATATTAGTCTATTTTTATACTAAAACGCTATGCGAAAGGAGGGAAACAGGCCCACGACGTAGGGAGTGATAAAAGAAGTGGTAAAGGTGAGAAGTGCGGATTGTGGAAACCCTTTGTGACAGTTAAATTAATGTATCTGTAATAATTAAATACAATGGGAAGAGAGGGAAACAGGTCTACGGTGTAGGAAGTAGTGAAGGAAGTAGTCAAGAGGCGAGCGGTCCGGAGTGTGGGAAGCATTTGTGACAGTTGGAAGAATGTACCTGCAAAACTTAAATGCCATGGGAAGGGAGGGAAACAGGTCCACGACGAAGGGAGTGATAAAGGAAGTAGTCAAGGCGAGGGGTCCGGAGTGTGGGAAGCCTTTTTAACAGTTAGAATATATTATATCTGCGATACTAAAATGCTATGGGAAGGGAGGGAAACAGGTCCACGACTAAGGAAGTGGTGAAGGAAGTAGTCAAATCGCGCAGTCCGGAGTGTGGGAACCATTGGTGGCAGTTAGATTAATTTATCTGCAATACTAAAATGATATGGGAAGGGTTGAAAACAGGTTCACAACGTAAGAAGTA